ATATATGTATATGTATATGTATATTAACAAAGTCTAGTAATCGGGCATAACATCAATAAAACATGGATTTCTTTCAAAAATTTATTTTAAACTAAAAATAAAACTAAAAACTAAAAACAATTGAATTGGAGTGAAAAGAAAAATAAAATAGTAATTAGTACTTACAATTAGTTGATCTTAGTGTTAATTTGGAAAACTTTAGTAATCCATGGTATTAGGATATGGTAATGCACTACACTATGTATTATAAACATTAACTTGAAATTACACAATATTTTCACAAAATACTGATTTGAAAGAATCACAAATGGATAGTGTGTTGTTCGTAGACTGGTTGAAGATATAATGAAAAAAGGACTTTTTAAAAATTATTTTTTACCAAGGTTCTACACATGTGTGAAACGAATTGCGAATCCTTTGCGCGTCGTTTTTATTGTTTTGTGAGAAATTTGGAAATACTCTCTAAATAAAAGAGAGTATATTCTAATTTAACACTAAGATTAACTAATTGTAAGTACTATTTACTATTTAATTTTTATTTTCACTCCAATTCAATTGTTTTTAGTTTTTAACTTCCCGTAGGGTAAGTTATTGCAAATCGAAATTGAAAATTTTTATATTTCTCGACGTTTTGAAGGTTTCTGAACATTTTGACATACCAAAGGAAAAATGGATGTGTGTGTATGTGTATGTATGTATGGATACAATTTTTCGTCCACGTTTTCGGGCGTACGGATCAACCGATTTGAATGGTTCAAAAAACATTCGATTCCTATTGCTAAGGAGATGTGCTGATTAGTTTTTGGCAGAGGCAGGTCAAGCAGTTACGGAGATGAAGAGCAAAGAGTGCCGAAAATAGAAATCGAGTTTTTGAGAGAACGGAGCATCCGATTTGAACGATCTAAAAAACTATTAAATTGGTAATGATTGGGAGAAGTGGTTATTAGTTTTTTGCAAAGGCAGGCATAGCCATTTTGAAGATACGGAGCTAAATGTACAGAAAATGGCAGTTTTTGAGAGAACTAAGCGTCCGATTTAAGTGATCTAAAGAACTTTCTGCTTGTCTTAACAAAATAATTGATTTTGGAAAAAAAAATTTTGTTTCAACTTTTTTTTTTATTTTATTTTTCATTTTTTGTATATCGAAAATAATTCAGATTTTATTTTTAATTCTGACTATAGCTCTAATATACTTTAAACAAATAATTTCAACTCTGCAATTCAGTTTATATAATTCTTATAAATATTAGATAATGTTACAATATTAATAATAATCTATTTGAAAACATTCAGTATTCCTCGAACATTTCGTTACGGTACGGGAAGTTCCAGCAATTTGCCTTAAGGAACGATGCCCCACACCCCACTAATTAATTTTATTTTTAGTTTCCACTGAATGAAGGCTAGGATTATAGCCGAACCGTATGGATTTAAAATGAATTTTTAAAAGAAATTCATGCTTTATTTACGTTATGCCCGATTACTAGACTTTGTTAATACATATGTCAACATCAAATTCAAAATCATGAAATATATATATATATATATATATATATATATATATATATATAAAGCGAGAGGTTTTTCTTCAGATGGTGAAATAATATAATAAAATTGTTTCTTGGGCATCCATCCAGTAATTAAAAAACAGTTTTAATGGAAAATGTTTTTATTTCGGGTCTTGATTTGACCCATCTTCAGTGCATACAAATAAACTTTGAAAAATAACACAAAAAAACATACAAAATTGCACGAAAAAAATAAATATGAAATAAAAAATTGATGAAACGTTGAGTCTTGGCCATAGATAAATAAGCAAAAATAGATCTCTATGTCTGGCGATTTGACGTTACCTTGATTAAAATTTGAATTTATGAAAATAGAGTGCAGCACATGTAGTAAATGTAAATTGAGAAAACTCTTGAGGCATCTGGTTTTATAAATTCACACTAGTCTAGGCCAAAACCATGAGGGTTATCTCCGAACAAACGCGCGTTTCACCTTTTTGGCCATAGATAAATAAGCATAAATAGATCGCTATGACTTTCGATTTGACGTTACCTTGATTAAAATTTGAATTTATGATACTTTATATGCACATGTTTAAAATATAAATTGAGAAAACACTTGTACCATCTGGTTTTATAAATTCACATTACTCTAGGCCACAACCATGGGGAGTTATCTCCGAATAAAAAAGGCCTAGCGTTTTAGCCTAGAGTAGTGTGAATTTATGGAAACAGATGGCTCAAGTGTGCTCAATTTCAACTACAAATAGTTTGTGGTTCGTGCAAGTGCCTGTCAAGATTTGATCGCTGTACAAATAACCTAAGTTTGTAAACTCGTGAAGATGTTTTTTTATAGTACCTAGCTATTCTAATATCAGTTTCCTTCAAAGGTATTTATTTGTGTAATAAACAATGCAATAATTTAAGCGATAAATTGTAAAAGAGTATTAATGTTTTGAAAAGTTTTTAAAATAGAAAGGAAGAAAATTCACAGCCGATGACATATTTTTTGCTTTAAGATTGTACAAATAGTCTTCAAAGGCTTACTATTTTTGGAGATAAATATTTATTTTGCCATGTCCTCAAATATTGAGATAGTTGCATTCAGAGAAACAATAGTATAGCGGTGTTGATGAGTGTCTATTTAAAACATTAGGTTCAGCTATTTTTCTTAAAAAGTATTAGTAGCAAATACTGTGTTTTTGATGCTTGATGAAATATCATTATCGTCAGAATTGCCATAATATTAGATTGAATCTCACATTGTTGATTGCAAAACAAATTTATTTGTTTATACCATACCTAATATTTTAATGTATTTTGATTGAGAGCTAGTGTTTCTTCAAAAAAAACTTGCAAAATCCTAATTTAGGGACCGATTCTGCCCCATAACAGAAAAAATTTATGACAATTTCATTTTATGTAGAACTTTCATAAAATTTAATTATACCGTACTTAATATTTTAATGTATTTTTATTGAGAGCTAATGTTTCTTTAAATAAAACTTTCAAAATCCTAATAATAGCATAGCGGTATTAATGAGTGTCTATTTAAAAAAGAATAGGTTCAGCTATTTTTCTTAAAAAGTATTAGTAGCAAATATTATGTTTTAATGTTTGATGAAATATCATTATCTTTAGAATTGACATATGATTGGATTGAATCTTATATTGTTGATTGCAAAAAAAGTTTTAGTCATGGTTTTATTATATGTATGTATGTATGTATATATATATGTGTGTATATATACATACATACATACGTCCGTAAAATGCCTATATCTCCGAAAATAATTCAAATTTTTAAAAACTTTCTCGTACCCATATTCTCAGATAGTTAAACTTTGAAAATATGACATAAAAAATCGATTTTTTTGAATTTCTACACTAGAATACCCCCTTAATTAATACAAAGGCAGAAATATTGAAAAATACAAATTTATTAAAGAATTAATTAAAGAAGAATGTCTCATAAATGAATTTCAATCCTAGGAATTTAGTTTTCTCTCACTTTTGATATCAATATATATTTTATTTATTTAAGATTTGTAAATTTGTTATTTATTCAAGTCAATACTCCTGTCCTTTGTTCTTCTTAGTTTTTAAGTTTCTAATATTTTATAATTGAGTCATTGAGTAACTAACATTAGTCGGTCATTTACGCATAATTGTGGTAATATAATAATTAATATTTATCATAAAATCAGTCATAATTTCTATTATTTTATAAAAATATGTTTGTAATATATTAGAAAATGTATCTTTTGCATGTTTTGTTTTTATTTCCAATATTAAAAATTATGCAGATTTTTTACTGTATTATTTATACAAACCTTCCAAGATGTAGAACCAGGAGTTATAATTCACATTTTATACTTGTGCTGCCACTTATTTCCCTAAATTCAAATTCTAATGGAGTCAGTTTTTCTATGATTATTGTTAAGAAAAAAAATTTCAATTGATAATAGCCTGAAATATAGAAAAATACAAATTTAATATATAAGTTATAGATTCATTTTAATTGAATGATTGAAATAAAAATCAGTTATAACAGAGCGATTTTTTTTTATTAAAAAAATTTAATACAATGGTGAAATAATGAAAAATAAATATGAATCATAGTGGGTTACTCGACTCCTCCTCTCCAACAATAGTTCCTTCAATTTACAAATCTCGAAAAGTCAATGTTTTTTTTTTCCTTGGGCATTGTTTGGGGCTGCAATTTTTTTTTGTGGGTGATGAACTCAAAAAAAAAAAAAAATGAGTATAAAATTATTTACTTATTCTATTAATGAAAAAACTTTATTCATTAAGAACTATTCCAAAATTAAGACATAAGTTTTAAACCATTAATCTTAAAAATATTTACTGCATTTCGTTATTTATTTAAACATTATACTTACTATTTTTGAAAAATAAACCACTTACTTTTTCTGCATACATGCTGCACACTCATTTGGTTCATGTTAAGTTAAAATACACTTATTACTTCACTTCACTACTTTTTTTTACTATTCACTTCACTACTTATTTTACTATTTATTTCACTATTTATTTCACTTTTCACTTCAATGTTTACCGTTCGAAATCTGAAACACTAATGAGCTCTTTGTCAATTAGCCCCGCCTTTTATACCCGGATCCAAGATGGCGGACCCGGATGTTGTAAAAAAATCCCCTGAAAGAAGAAATTTCGATTTAAATCGAATTATAAAAGTGAAAAACTGTTTTTGCCACGATAAATATGCTAATAATAATTAAAAACATTACTCAGTACTTACTATTTGTTCATAAATTAAAAATTACATGGGCAAGTGTAACGGACTAATCATGGGGATTAATGGATTTAGACGCCAATTTCGGGTAAAACATGAAATATTATGTTATTTTATTATTGCTGTATGAGTTGGTAGTCACAAATTGTTATAAAATTATGTCTTTGGTGTGTTATTACAATTTTTACAATTTTTTTGAAACCTAACCCCAAAATGTCATAAACGTCAAAATAACACTTTTGTCAAAAGTGCTTTTTTTGTGCATTTTGCTGCACGTACGTAAATTCTGAATGAATTTAATATTCTCATGTGATAGTTAAAGTAGAAAATTCTAAAATAAATATATTTGTGGCTAAAAATGGGCTTGTACAAGTTTTTGTGTTGTTTGTGAGGTTATCTGGCTGTACAAGCGTTCCTATGAAATAAATCATAGACTTATTGTGTTCTGAACATATTATTTTATACATTATTACACTGCTGAATCCATAAACACTGATTCTTTGTTATTCTTTCAGTTCTCGCAGACAGTTGTACTTATTGTCACAAGTTTCAAGAACTAATCGAGGCTATCTGGTCCATCGGTTAAAATTATGGGTCAATTATAGAGATACAGCAAAGGCTCATTTTAAAGCAAGTTGAAGCGCATGCAAATATGTACCAAATTAGATGTTACTGGTTACACAAGATCTGTGAGTCCCTACGATTGAACGAGAGATAAAAAAACATCCAAGGGGGTAGAGGGTGATATTTAAAATTACCCTTCCTCTCCCCAACAAATATCACATGTATTTTTAGTTATGAGAAAAATTATAAATTTATTGTTTTGAATCTCACTCAATCAAGCTTCATGACACGATAGGTTAGATAGTGTACTTATATTATGAAGTCGACTCTAGACAAAAAAAGAATTCTACTGAGCTCGATCCTGAAAAGTAAAGGAAACTAGTTTGGACCCATTCTGCAAAACGAGTACCTCCTACACGAAGGACTGAAAATAGAAGGACCGAAAGAATTGGGAAGAAGAAGAATGCAGATGCGATGGAAAAAAAATAGAAAATAGATAATACAGGGAACTGAAAGTCAAAGCACGGGCACAAGGTAAGAGAATTATTTATTTAGACATAGTTGTCTCATACAATCTACCTGCATTCAAACAAAATACTATATATTATTATTATTATTATTATATTATGAAGAGATTTGGAATCCTAACATTTAATATAATTTATACATTTATATACTGAATTTATAATTAATTTATTATTCAGGCTTTAGTTGAGGATTTGTGCAGATATTTGGATTACTTAAAACGGCTAAACCGATTTGGCCAGTCTTAGTCTTGAAAAATTTGTGCCAATCCAGAGATGGTCGGAAAGGTGAGATATTATTTCAAAATCGCGTAGAAACTTTACATTTTTAATTTGAAAATTTTTGTAGAAGCATAATTTGAATAAAACAATAGATGGTGGCTAATTCGTGAAATGTCAAACGTTTTTGACAGATGATGTTCAATTACTTTTAATAGGATGTTTTACGTAAATATTATTTAATTATGATTAAATTGTAGTAAGTAGTTTTGTTCGTAGTTATATTTATACACAAAAACGTTATTAAACGGGCCGCAGTGTTACAAGAAACTCAAATTATCAATTTTTTTGAAATGTTAATATAAAAATGCACTTTTTGGCATATTTTTCTCAAACACAGACTGGAAAGATCTTATTTGTATAATTATATACTCATTGGTATTTATAAAATATATTTCAAGGTTATATTAATTTTTATTTATGCTATTTAAATTCAGAACCTATATTTTGTCGAAAGGGACATTTTGGCGAATAACATTTTCCCAGTTATAATTTCCACTATTTATTTAAAAATAAATGGTAATATATGAAGGTCCGGGATTAAAAAGGTCCACCACCGATGTGCCAAAAAAGTAAAGTTAAGCATTGTTTAACAATAATATTTGAATGCAGAGGGAAAAGGATGTATAACCAGCTATAACCTTGATTCTTATGACTTTGCTATCGAGAGATAAACGGTAATCTTTGAAAATCCATAATAAAAGTATTTTCTTCCGTTGGTAGTTTTTTAGCATTAGTTAAAAATGTAATTATTTTGTAAAATACCTTTAAAATTAAAATAAGACATTAAACCTGTTTGCCATCTGGCCGTTCCAAGTTACTCCGACTATGGGGTAAAAAGGTCTAGATAACAAATTTTTGAAAGACATCAAAAAAGCACATTTCTACAATGATGAAGTAGCTGATAATTTTACTGAATGTAGTCAGATAATTGTTCATTTGAAATGTGTTATTTGTTGTGATATAATTGGTTTGATTTTTATAATATAATTAATATTTGATCAAAGTTAAATTGGACCTTTGTGCCTGCTCTACATATATACTTTTTATTAAATTTATTTTAATTCATCGAATGTTACTTGAAACTGTTTAAAAAGAAGAAATTATTAATTCATTTTTTATGTGTCCTCGCCGAAATTTAAAAATTTTGTATAAGCTCAATAGTATTTTTTACGATTATACTCAAAATCCAGAATCCAAAAAGAATCTGAAAATCTTGAAACGTAATCAATAAGTCGAAAGACCAAAAAAGACTTGGATTGGATTATACCATATTTTCTATAGAAAGTGTATAAAACTCCCAGTTTGATTGTATTAACAAAATATAGACTATATATATATATATATATATATATATATATATATATATATATGTGTGTGATTAAAAAATGCATTTTTGCTTCAAATTCAATGTGGTGTGATTCTTACTTTCTTTACAGAAGTTTTCTTTATCTTCATTTCATGGCACATACTTCATAATAAAATACATTTTATTTATCAATCATTGTATTTTAAACTTCGGGCAGACTACTATTTATTTTCAATCTTAACATTTAATATAATTTAAGTATAAAAATAGGGTTTTCTATTCAAGCATAATTATCAATTAATAACAACTACACAAAATTTATGATCAATTTATTATTACTCAGGCTTTAGTTGAGGATTTGTGCAGATATTTGGATTACTCGAGCCTCGAATAGATCTATTTACACTCGACAATATAACTTTGCCATAAGAATGATGAAGGGTACACACTGCAAATGCAAATAAATCATATTCTAATATTTAAAGATAATTTACTTAAATCAGGACAAATATCATAAGAGGTAACTATTGTCAAATTTTGAACTAAATGTTACAGTAAGCTTCAGAAAAAAGTTTAAAAAGATTTTCTTTTATTTTTATTTTATATCATGAACATTTACATAAAATATTATTATTATATTATGAAGAGATTTGGAATCTTAACATTTAATATAATTTAAGTACAAAAAATAAAAGTATTTTTTTCTATTTAAGAACAACTACACAGAATTTATAATCAATTTATTATTATTCAGGCTTTAGTTGAGGATTTGTGCAGATATTTGGATTACTCGAGCCTCGAATAGATCTATTTATACTCGACAACATAATTTTGCCATAAGGATGATGAAGGGTACACACTGCAAATGCAAATAAATCACATTCTAATAATTAAAGATAATTTACTTAAATCAGAAGAAATATCATAAGAGGTAACTATAGTCAAATTTTGAACTAAATGTTACATTAAGCTTCAGAAAAAAGTTTAAAAAGATTAATTTCTTTTATTTTTATTTTATATCATGAACATTTACATAAAATATTATTATTACATTATGAAGAGATTGGGAATCTTAACATTTAATATAATTTAAGTACAAGAGTATTTTTTTCTATTTAAGAACAACTACACAGAATTTATAATCAATTTATTATTAATCAGGCTTCAGTTGAGGATTTGTGCAGATATTTGGATTACTCGAACCTCGAATAGATCTATTTACACTCGACAATATAACTTTGCCATAAGAATGATGAAGGGTACACACTGCAAATGCAAATAAATCATATTCTAATATTTAAAGATAATTTATAGGTAACTAAGCTTCAGCTTTCTTAAACAAAAGATTAATTTCTTTTATTTTTATTTCATATCATGAATATTTACATAAATACTGCCATCATTTGAAGTGTATATATATATATATATATATATATATATATATATATCATTTCATAATCTACAATTATCATAATCAATTATTCAAATTTATTACAATGATTATAATTAAATTAATTCTCTCAGTATTTGTGATTAAGAAATGCATTTTCGCTTCAAATTCAATGTAATGTGAATCTGTGCTATTTTCTTTACAAAAGCTCGCTTTATCTTTTCTTCATGGCACATACTTGATGAAAAAATATATTTTATTTATCAAGTATTTCTATTTTAAATTTTACCTGAAAATAAAAATGAGTTAAATTTTATTACACGCATTTGTCATATACTTACATAAAGAAACTGTGTTTACAAATTCTGTTTTGAATAAATCGCCACTGAATTGTTATTAACAATAAAACAATATTTATAATATGGTTAACATTATATATATATATATATATATATATGTATATATATATACATATATATATATATATATATATATATATATATATACACCTAAGTCTGTTTTTACACGGTCTTTTTGTACACGGTTTGAAAATTGAATATTTTGAATTTTTTTACACGATTTTATTCCATTTAGCACGAATTGAAATTTTATGTACTTAAATTTTTTTGTCGAATTTAATTTTTGCGAAGTATGTTCATATCACAAAAAAGTATTTATGAAAGAAAAAAGTCTGAAACCATCGATAGTATCAGAATTATATATTTGATTTAATAAAATAAACATGAATTCTTGTTCTTGAAAATTTTTGTTTTTCACTAATTTTAATAGGTTTTAGAGATTAGGAATAAATCACCCATTTTTGTATAAGATCAATGTCTTTTTTTACACGGCTTCTTCTGGAACCAATCTACCGTGTAAAAACAGACTTATATATATATATATATATAATATTTATTTATTTAAAGTAAATGTTCATCTAAAGTAGTACTGTCTTGGTTCTCTTAATATGGTGTTCCTTATTAATTAATAACTAAGTATATGTTTAAATATTCAATAAAAAAATTCTAAATTAATTTATGGGTGATTTACAAGTATACTCAGTTGCTGGAGGGTCTTGTAATGTTAGACAATATTCTAGATTGTTTATTTAACTTTTTATTTAATATTTAAAACGCTGTAAATAAATGCTACAGACAGTTTAACTCCAGTTAATATTTTCTAAGTGCCAGAATTCAGATATAATATTTTTTTTATCGGGAACGTGCATGTATGTGTTAAAGTATATAATTAGTTTTTTATTAATATATTTATTTTTTTAGATGATTGATTAAGCAATTAAGCACAAAAATTGTCAAATTAAAATATTAAACAAATACTCCCCTTCTCCAACTGATTTTATTCAAAATTTTGCTAACCAAGTGTATTAACAGTTTATACTATTAGACAGTAAATTTGATCTAGTTTTTATTAGTATAATTAAATAAAAGTACAGAATAAAGTATTATTTGACAAAATGTAAAATAATGTTACAAATCCATAAATTGCTATCAAACTCAAATAGGCCCTTTATTTAACTATTATTCAGAATTTTGATATGGTAGTATATATAACAATTTATACTGAACTTTAGTAAATTTTATCTAGTTTGTACTCATATAAACAAATAAAAATGCCCAGGACAAAATTTCCAAGTTATTTCACAAAATGTAAAAAAAATGTCCCAAAACCATCTAAAGCTAATTATCAAACTCAAATCTGCGCTTCTATTACAAATTATTCAAAATTTTGATATGCAAGTGTATATAACAGTTTATACTGAACTTTAGTAAATTTTATCTAGCTTTTACTGATATAAACAAATAAAAGTGTACGGAAAAAAGTTTCTATGATATTCGACAAAAAGTTGAAAAATGTCCCAAAATTTAATCTATTGCTAATTAAAAATTGTGCATGACGTCCAATATTTTAAACAGTTCATACATCAAAGATTTAGGGGAGAAAGAACAGATTGATACTTTAATTTGTGACAGTTCTATTATTGATGTTCCTGTTGATTTTAATGTGCAAAATGCTGCTGATAAGATTGAAAGTATCATCAGGTACAAAATAAAATTTAGTGAAAATTAATTGGAATTGTAGTTTTGAATCTTATTAGCTACTAAAATTTGGTATAATTTTTAACTGCTTTTAACTGCGAAATTGTGTCTGTCCACATTTTATCAAACAACTTGAAAATTTTGTTCTAGACACTTTAATTTATTTATGTTAGTAAACAATAGATGAAATTTACTGAATTTTAGTAAAAACTTTTATATGCACTTGAAAATAAATAGATATTTTTATCACATTTAAAAAAAAAAACAATTACAACTATACAGTGTGTTATAATATATCATTATAATAACATAAGGCATTTCGTTATTTTAAAACATGAAGGGATATTCTTAAATACATTGATAAAATAAATTAATGAGAATTGATTTAAATATTTATTTGAATGTATTATAAATTTTTTATTTATTTATGAAAAACTTGTTTGATATATATACTATTGATATTAAACACTAAAATTTGATATACTTTGATATACTGATGATTACTTGTAACAATTTAAGTAGTTTAAAATTGTATAAAAAAGTGCCTCAAAATGCTATTTGATACATAAATAAAAAATATCTTCGTGATTTAATACTAATGTTAGTAGCAAATTATTTAAAAGTCTCAACTGTATAAAAAAAAACGAATAATTGACTGACTGATTGATTTAATATGATAAATTAATTAAGAAATGCTTAAATATTGAATTATTCATTTTATCCATACCTTCTTTTCAATATTTACAATTTTGTATTTTACAAGTATTTATTCTTATATATTGTATAAGAAATAGTCAAAGATGAAATAAATATCCAAATATATTGAAAATATAAACTGAAATGTTTCTAACAAATTTGTAATTAAAATTTTGATTTTAGGAATTATTCAAACATGAAAATAGTTATTAGCATGGATACTTTTGGAATGGAAGATTTGCTATTTGAAATAGCCTGTCGAGGATACTCTGTATACACTGGGTGTTCCAGGAATGCTTTTTTGAGAATCCAAAATGCTGATTCATATTTTACAACTTCTAGAGATGCTGTTTTAAGAGTTGTCAATAAAGCATTTTGTGTGAACATCGATGATTGTTACAGGTAATAGAAATAGGAATAATATTATATATATATATATATATATATATATATATATATATATGTGTGTTTGTATGTATGTATGTATGTATGTATGTATTAGGGTGGTCCTTAATATGGACAATTTCGAATTTCTTTTCTCCCAAGGGCTCAAATGCTTCTAAATTAATTTTAACAAAATCTTTCGTCATGTTTTTGTTCCAAAAGTTGAAAATCGTTATATGCAGTTATGTAGAGAGTTTTATAAGCTTTTTAATGATATAAAGCAAAATTTATGTGCTGTAACAAGTTTTTCCACATTTTAAACAGATGTCACAAAATGTATAAAGCATTTGAGTTATACGAGTTCAAAGTTTGACGACTTTTTCCGTCATGTTTTTGTTCTAAAAGTTGAAAATCGTTATATGCAGTTATGTAGAGAATTTTATAAGCTTTTCATACATGTAAAATAAAATGTATGCGCTTGAACAAGTTTTTGCACAATTTAAATAAATGTCGAAAAATGTGCTTGCAAATAAATTCTTATCGATTAAGCTGAACCACCATTGTTGATATAATTCTGGAATTGGATAATAAATTAATACACGAAAGTATTTATTTAGTGATTGTAATATTTACTTTTATGTGTTCAATTTCTTTTTCGGAAAATTTCTCTCGTGGACCTCCTAAAATGAATATTTTTGCTCTTGTTAAATTTCTCTCGTTCATTTCGTCCTTGTTACTGAGGAAATAAATTTCATACATTAATTCGCGAGTATATTAACAAATTTGTAGAATGCTGTTCTGCGACCAATCACAATGCTCGAAAATTGGCTAATTAATTTCGTTTGTTTTCGTTTCCTTTCGTTTCCTTTCGCCCCTTTCACGTAGGTTATAAATAGGAGTGCGCGAAGGAATTCGTGGCAGTCGTCGGCCGCGGCCGGCGCCAGCGTCACCTAGGGTGGCGCTGAAAGCCCCCGGGGCACCAGGCCGGCAGCTCCCATCGGAGCTGGAGTGGTCAGGAGCCCCGGGGCATCCGCCGGAGACTCCCGGCCACGGGGACTCCGAGCCACGGGGACTCCGAGCCACGGGGACTCCGAGCCACGGGGACTCCGAGCCACGGGGACTCCGAGCCACGGGGACTCCGAGCCTCGGGGACTCCGTGGCACGGGGACTCCGTACCACGGAGATTCCGTGCTACGGAGACTTCGTGCCACGGGGACTCCGTGCCACGGGGACTCCGAGGCACGGAGACTTCGTGCCACGGGGACTCCGTACCACGGAGATTCCGTGCTACGGAGACTTCGTGCCACGGGGACTCCGTACCACGGAGATTCCGTGCTACGGAGACTTCGTGCCACGGGGACTCCGTGCCACGGAGACTCCGAGGCACGGAGACTTCGGGTCACGGAGATTCCGTGCCACGGGGACTCCGTGCCACCGGGACTCCGTGCCACGGAGATCCCGGGACACGGAGAGTAAAATCTAATTACGACACACCATAAAAATAAAATTTGAATTGACCTCGCCGCAGTCCCGCAGTTTCTGTGGCCCGGGGTCTGCATGGCACGGTGTCTCCGAGGCTCGAAGTCCCCGTGTCTCGGAGTCCCCGAGGCACGGAGTCTCCGTGGCAGGGAGTTTCCGTGGCTCGGGAGTCTCCGTAGCACGGAGTCCCCGAGGCACGGAATCTCCGTGGCGCGGAATCTCCGTGACCCAAAGTCTCCGTGCCACGGAGTCCCCGAGGCTCGGAGTCCCCGTGGCTCGGAGTCCCCGTGGCTCTGAGTCCCCGTGGCTCTGAGTCCCCGTGGCTCGGAGTCCCCGTGGCTCGGAGTCCCCGTGGCTCGGAGTCCCCGTGGCTCGGAGTCCCCGTGGCTCGGAGTCCCCGTGGCCGGGAGTCTCCGGCGGATGCCCCGGGGCTCCTGACCACTCCAGCTCCGATGGGAGCTGCCGGCCTGGTGCCCCGGGGGCTTTCAGCGCCACCCTAGGTGACGCTGGCGCCGGCCGCGGCCACGACTGCCACGATTTCCTTCGCGCACTCCTATTTATAACCTACGCGAAAGGGGCGAAAGGAAACGAAAGGAAACGAAAACAAACGAAATTAATTAGCCAATTTTCGAGCATTGTGATTGGTCGCAGAACAACATTCTACAAATTTGTTAATATACTCGCGAATTAATGTATGAAATTTATTTCCTCAGTAACAAGGACGAAATGAACGAGAGAAATTTAACAAGAGCAAAAATATTCATTTTAGGAGGTCCACGAGAGAAATTTTCCGAAAAAGATATTGAACACATAAAAGTAAATATTACAATCACTAAATAAATACTTTTGTGTATTAATTTATTATCCGATTCCAGAATTATATCAACAATGGTGGTTCAGCTTAATCGATAAGAATTGATTTGCGAGCACATTTTTCGACATTTATTTAAATTGTGCAAAAACTTGTTCAAGCACATATATTTTATTTTACATGTATGAAAAGCTTATAAAATTCTCTACATAACTGCATATAACGATTTTCAACTTTTGAAGCAAAAACATGACGGAAAAAGTCGTCAAAAGTTTAATAAAATTGCAAACATTAATGAAAATGGTTATACATTTTCTCACATTTGTTTGAATTGCGCAAAAACTTGTCAAAACACATAAATTTTATATTATATAGATAAAAAGCTTATAAAATTCTCTATATAACTGCATATAACGATTTTCAACTTTTGGAATGAAAATATTACGAAAAAAATCATCAAACTTTGAATTCGTATAACTCAGCAAACAAATGTTTTATACATTTTGTGGCATCTGTTTAAAATGTGCAAAAACTTATTAAAACACATTAATTGTATTTTATATGAATGAAACGTTTATAAAATTCTCTACGTAACTGTATATAACGATTTTCAACTTTTGGAACAAAAACATGACGAAAAAAGTCGTCAAACTTTAATAAAATTGCAATCATAAATGAAAATGGTTATACATTTTCTCACATTTGTTTGAATTGCGCAAAAACTTGTTACAGCACATAAACTTTGTTTTATAAAGATAAAAAGCTCATACAATTCTCTACACAACTGCATTTACCAATTTTCAACTTTTAGAACAAATACATATATGGGTCACCCTAATATATATATATATATATATATATATATATATATATATATATATATATATATAAACAATGTGATTTTATTTGTTTCAGGCGTTATATGAATAAAATGTATTCTGTTAAAGAAATGTTGGACTTGAGAAAAGTTGGTGTTCACATTGTTAACTATGAAGATCGGACAACTGCACAAGCTTCGTACCATTTGATCAAATTGGTTAAACCGATTCGTCTAAAAAGTTCTACCAAAGGTGAAAGTTTTAAATTGAAAACTTATGGACGGTTATGTAGAAGACCAAAAGTATTCCCAAGACTGTCTGAGACTTCAATACATTGTAATGATGATCAGAAGGAGTTACAAAGTGATGTTTTGTTAAATGAAATTGCTGAAGAGAAAACTGTTGAACCAGTTAAGCAAGAAGATGTCAAAGTACCAGACGTCCTGGTAAAAATCAGCAGCACGAGTGATTTCAATTTAGATTCCCTTACATCATATTTCAACCACCAACAACCTGGTCCAAACGATCCCTACATATCACCATCAAATGATATCCTTTCAACAAGTAAACCTGAAGAAGTCCTTTCTAATCGTCAAAAGATGTTAAAAGCCAACAACAAAAAGGCTGCAGATAATTTAGCAGCTTTAGCAATTGCAGCTTTGGAGCCTTTTCAAAAAATGCATTTGTTTACGAAGCATAAATTGCAATTCATGGATGATAATTTTATCGATCCTGTAGAGATGAGTAAAAATTTATACAGGTTTCATATACAGCACCATTTGGATTGTATAAAAAAAATTGAAGGAAGAGATGGGTAAAATTGGCGGTAAGAGGAAAAGAACTGGGTAGTAGATATATGTTTATTTATTTATTTATTTATTGAGATTGTAAAAAAGTGTTTGAAAGATTTTTATTATATTGTAGTATACAGTGCAAATATTTTATATATGTATAAATTTTATATATTTTATATGTGCAGTAATATAAAAATATTAATGAAAGTAATAAAGAATAATTACAACATTATTAATGATGCTGAAGGGTTTTTAAATTAAATTAAATTTATTTATAATATATATATATATATATATATATATAGATGTATATTTTGAAAAATAGAATACACACAAATATTGAAAATTATTTATTGGTTTTATTATCATTATAACAACTATGTTACCAGTCTATAAATATATATTTTATAACCTATGTTTAATTTTTGGGTAAGAATTATTAAAATAAATTAATCAGTCAGTGCTGAAACTTGCTTGGACAAGTTTCTTTATAATAATAATAAATTTACAAATCACAAATTTAAATAGATTTAAAGTTAAAGTGTGTTTTGTGTGAAAATATGTTTTAAGTAAGTGCCCAATAATGTTTTATATATTAAAAGTGGTTTAGGCTTATTCATAAATATTTTGACAAACTGTTGGCATAATTCTAGTTAAATATATTTTTTGCTTGCATTGTAATATTTATTCAAGTCCAAAACACTTTTTAATACATGAATTAATCACTTTAAACATTAAATTTAATTTATATTGTTTTGAGGTTAGAATTGTTAAACGTCAAACTTGACAGTTGTTTTTAGATTAAAAATGTCTGTTGTGACAGGTTTATTTTTAAATGTGTTTCAAAATAGTTATTTAATCAAATAAATGTTTAATAATCAAGTAGAATAGTTCCAATTTTATGCGTTTTTTCTTACTTTATTATTATTATTCAAAATCAGAAATATTTCAAAAGAGTGAAGTAATTTTTGTCATTGTTCAAACAAAAGGTGTTATTTATACAAAGAAATTAGTTTTTAGATGATTTTCTTTGAAAAATATATTAGTATATTTTCTTTTGTGTTAATAATAGTTATTATAAGTGCAGTTGTTATTAATAATTCAATATTTACATCATAAATGGGTCGAAAAATATTTATATGCTCTTTGTAAGTAATGGTTTTCTTTTAAATGCTAAGTGCCATTACTAATTAATAATTGATAAAATTAAAATGATTCGTATTATATATTGAATTAATTTTAATATAACGAGTTTGATGTATTCTAGTAGTTTGTCTGCTTTAGGACCAACATTTTTCAATAAAATCACCATTTTAAGAACAAAAATATTCTTGAATTTTTACAAAAACCACTTTCTTCCCATAATATTTATGAAAGACACGTAAAAAGTATATTGATAAAATAATTGTCATAATTATTATAATTATAGAATGATAGATGGCTTTTTCGTTTGTGACTTTTAAATAGTGTATCTAATGTCAATGAAATATTTAAGAAGTTTGCACAAAATTAACAATTATGTTTTATAATATTTATAAATCATCAACCATATTGAATCCATGGACAGATTTTTTCTAACACATTTTACTCAATTTGAATAACTTTTGGATCTTGCTGATTCGAGGCATTTTTTACATTTTTTCAAAGAATTTCGAAATTTTGTTTTAGAAAATTTACTAAAATTTAGTATTAATTATTATATGCACTTGTATATCAAAATTTTGAATAATTTGTAGTTGAAGTGCAGATTTGAGTTTGATAGCAATATGTGATTCGGGACATTTTTTTACATTTCTTCAAATAAGTTAGAAATTTTGTATCGAATATTTTTGTTTATTTATTTTAATGGAAAATAGATAAAATTTACTAACAAATAGTATAAATTGTTATATATATACTTGAATATCAACATTTTGAATAATTTATAGTTGAAATGCGAATTTTCGTTTCCGTTGAGATTTGAGTCGATTGAATAATTGGCTATAGGTGGATTTTGGACGTTTTTTTTACATTTTGTTAAATAACTTTAAAATTGTGCCCTGAACATTTTTATTTGTTTAAAACAGTATAAACTAGATAAAATTGACTAACAAATAGTATAAATTGTTTTATATACTTGCATATCAAAATTTTGAATAATTTTCAGTTGAAACTCAAATTTAAACGTAATATATAGATTTGGGACTTTTTCTACTTTTCTTCAAATAGCTCTTAATTTTCTTTTCGGTCAATTTAATTTATTTACATTAGTAAAAACTATATTAAATTCACTAGAATTTAGTACAAACTAGTACATATAGTTGGATACTAAAATTTCGTATAATTTTTAACTGGAACTCGAATTTGTGCCTGTGTACATTTTATCAAACAACTTGAAAATTTTTGTTCTAGGCATTTGAATTTATTTATATTAGTGAAAAATAGATAAAATTTAGATTTATAAATCATAAACCATATTAAAAGACTGCTATTCATGCTTCTGTTAAAACTACAGTGATGATATCAAATTATTCGATTATAATAAATGATTTATTTGGAATTGAATCAATGGATTCTTTTAAGGTTTTTTTTTAAACTTTGGAAATGATATACAATTCATTCGTTTAACATAAATGATGTACTATTCGGCTGTACTCACATACAAATTATTCAAAGGTCAGAATCCACGGATTTTTCAAGTTTTTGTGGTTTTATTTTCAAATAGAATATTCAAAGCTTACTTGTTGTTGCTAGTCTGGTATTAAGTAACAAATAATCTTATTTTAAACGTAGACCCTTAGAATAAATATTTATTCTTATTACAGGTACTTATAGGAACAGGAACCGATCAGAACCGACAGGAAATTTATAATCAAAAACTTATTAGACAAAGTTTTTTGATGATTTATGATTACAACAAGGAAGAAATTATGCTGTTTGATGAGCTTTCAGGGCTTGTATCACTGCAAAACAACAAAAACTTTGGTTGCAACATCGGAATTTTAGCAAAAAAATTGGTTTGTTTTTGCTATTTTGGAAATGTTTTGACTGATTTCAAAAGATTTTCGGACGCTGATTTCAGAAATGCTATCTATTTTTGGATAAACCCACACACACCCCGCGAAAAATCGAAATCTTTGGTTGCAAAATCGATTTCTTTTTTAAAAAAATCGGCTTTTCTTCGAGATGTTCAAAATGTTTTGATTGGTTTTGTTTGATTTTGGGACGCTGATTTCGAAAATATTATCCGTTTTTGGATAAATCCACATACCGCTGCGAAAAATCGAAATCATTGGTATCAAAACCAAAATTTTACTAATGAAATTAAAATTTTTTTCGCGATTTTCAAAATGTTTTTACCGATTCTGATACTTTTCGAGGCGCTGATTCCGAATATGAAATCAGTTTTTAGAAAAAAAAATTCTTCTGCCCTTGGTACCAAATTGAAGTTTGAAAAATTGCCAACTTTGAAGCTGATTTTAACTATGAAGACGATGATAAATTTGTATTTTTTTTGGTTTGGTATAAAGATTGTACTTTAGTCTACACAAAGCATTAATTAAAATTATTAATTTCATTCATTAAGTGCCTTAAAATTGCATTTGAAAGTCACGGTTTTGGCCAATTTTGGCTGCTCCTGATAGACTGTCTTTTTATCGAAAAAATAATATGATTTTTAAATTACACCAAAGTAGGTTTGGTTTACTGCTAACCAGGCGTAAATATGAATTTTTTAAAAATTATCTTTCTCCTACTTTTTCTTATCTTTATATATATATATATATATATATATATATATATATATACATTTATATTTATATATATGCACATATATATTATGTCGATTTTTGTAATACTGACACTCAATAAATATAATTCTATCTATATGTCTTATTTATTTACACAGTTTGAAAAACTATTGGCTCCAAATATTTTTTTCAGTCAAATGGGGTTCGAACTGGCGAATTGATATTCTGGCCTAAACCGTATCTTTACGACCTCGGCTATTCGCACATTTGTCATACCACATTTTTAGGAAACTTATATCTTTCATTTCAGAAATAAGACCTTATATTTTTACAAAAGACTACGGTTTCGAGTAACCAGTTGGCCGAGATCGTTAAGTGACCACTACGGTTGCTCATTGTTTCTCGGTTCGATTCCAGAAGAGGCACAAAAAATCACATGTCTAGTTTTTCATAATTATCAAATATTAGTTCAAAATATTAAATTCAGGTGTCGCATTTCGACCTTGACACTTAGAATATTTCTGAAAAATTCAAGGTTCGCACTTGACTGTAAGAGAGATACATAAAAAGAAAAAAAAAAAAAAAAGTAGAGGAAGAACTGGGGAAAGAGAGGGGTAGAGGCAGATGATGAATAAGAGAGATGTGTATGATACATATTCTTTATTAAAATTCAATATTAATACAATATAGGAATAAAAATAACTTTTATCATCAATAACTTAAATAGCCGAGCGGTTTAAGTGACCGCATACTCGGTGAAATCGCTCTGGAGGCAGGCACAAGGTGAGACGGATCGAATCCGGCTGAAGGCGACGACGACCAACTCGGAAGCAGAAAAAATGGAGCAGTGCTGGTGGCTGGCTGTTGGCGAGCGCAAAGGGTCCTGAAACGAACACACCAAGTGATGGTCAACCAGAGGTCCATGATGTGAGAGGGGTTACGCGCAGAGAGACACATTGCGGAAGATGCATGCCGAACCCAGAAATCTACCCAAAAACCACAACATGCGAAAAAAACAACACCAAAAAAGGAAAAAAATGTGAAAAAAAGCGGAAAAAAAAGGGAAAAGGAGGAAGGGGAGGGTGGAGAGGTTAAAAAAAACCCCTTAAGTCCCAGATCAATTTTTCTCTTTTCTGTTCAGCGTTGAAACTTTTTTATGTTTTTTAGTGTTCCCTCACACCAATTCCCAAAACCAACACTCGAATGAAATGAGGTCCACGTTGAAATTTTCACAACGAGAAAAAATTACTGGGACTTAGTTAAAATATTTAACTTTGTCCGAATAAAATTTTCTCGTTGTGAAATATTCAATGTGAGCCTCATTCATTCGAATGTTGGCTTTGGGATAATACAGCATGCATAAATAACTCGTCTGTCTTAATTGAAAAGGTTTCAGAAAATTTGGACTTAGAAAAAAAAATTATCTGAAAGGACTTAGAAAAAAAAAAATTATTCGAAAGAATTATACTCAGAAAATTTGGACTTAGAAAAAAAAAAATTATTTGAGAGAATTATTTAATTAATCGATGAAATGAAATGAAATTAATTGAATCTAAATTGTATATACGACTTGATAAAACATGTGAAACCTTTACAATTAATCGAGACAAAAACAAATTTAGTTGACTTGAATAATATACAAATTATTAGAAAAAGCCATAAAAGAAATTCAATAAAACTTATAAAATGAAATAATAAAAAATGTTCGAAAACTTGAACATTAAAACTTCAAAACTGTTTAAAGCTGATTGTTATCCTTTAGAAATTGTGTTAACTAATTTTTACAACTTCAATCGAATAATGAACTTGTAAACAAAATTAAATTTTGTCTAATCATTCAAGTCAACTCTTTGAAACTTTGATTGTATGTCTTGATCAAAATTGTTTTTAGTAATAAAAGAATAAAAATCTATCATTTAGCTATGCAGCGATATAAATGAATAAATTTAAAATAAAACTACAGTAAAAGACTTTTAAAGCTGCATTTAATTAACAATTTGGTAAGTCGTATTAAATATTTGAAATAATTTGATCAAAATCAACAATCATGTTATCCATAAATAAGAATGTTCATGCACTCAATATCGCTTGGGGAAAACACATGATTCTTGATACTGGAAATGTCAAGTACAAATACAAATATTTTTTCTGTATAATAATGAAGAAGAGGTGTAATAAAAAAGAAATTTTTGTAACAAAGTAAATTTGTAACTTGTAATTTGTAACAAAATACCATCAATTTAGGAGTTACCTAAGGTAAGGTGCTAGGGCCCCTTCAACAAATATGTAATCAAAGCATACAAAAAGCTATATTGGCAAACTAATAATTTGGTAACAAAAATTTAATATTTAAGAGTTTTGAATTCCACACAAAATAGTGTTATTTATAGAATAAACAAATTTCTGAACATATTTCTGATTTCTGAGAAGTACAAACTTTTTTTCTTTTATATTGATTTAAAACATTCATAAAAGGCACTTGTATAAATAAATAAAAGAATTTTTAATTGACTATATATTGAATTGTAATAATATAAATAAAAAAAAACAGAATCAAAATGTTTTCCCCATAGCAAATTAAATAAGAACATAGTCTTTTACACATATGTCTGCCAAATTAAGTTAAAATCTTTTATTTGCATAATAGTTACAGATGAATAAACAAAAAATAAATTGTATTTTATGCATTAAAAATTAATAAAGTATACCTTATCAAAAAATGATATTGACTCAAATATTATAATATTAGCATTATTTTCCGCAGATATATGTATACAACTATATTAATAATGCACGAGCCAGAAAATATTCCACTAAAATATATACAGGCTGCCTTATAAATGATATTGGATAACAAAGGGACATGTTCTCAAAAAATCTTCCAATCAATTTTCATTTATTCATTTCATTTAATATGAAAAACATGCATTAAATATATAATTAATAAGAAGTATTATTATTACAAGCATAAAAAGTAGCATGTAATACAAAGTCGGTCAATAATAGTAAACTCAGTCAAAAAATAAATTATAAGTAATATCTTTTTATTTATTTCTATTCAAATCATAGTTTTATTGAAGATGACAAAGAATATTGTATCGAAATAAAGATTTATAAAACAAATCTCAAAATAAATTATTTGATGTAAATGCTTTACATTAAGAAAAACTTAATGCATATATATATATATATATATATATATATATATATATATATATATAAGTTAAATATTGAATATTTAAAACACTATAGGTGCAACAGATATGGTACGATAAATGCCTGTATATAATTCCAGAAGAATATTCTTTGACTCGCTCTGTATAAAACATGCTTTGCACTTACATTGTTAGATATTCTCTGCAGCATATGTCAGAATCCAAAACCAGGACTTCAAGCACCACTGGAGCATCTTCCAGAAATCTCAAGTACTCGACACAAAATCACTACTATAGAACCACTACATAACTTTTGTCTTTTACAAGTTTCTTTGACATGTTGCAATTCTCCGAGTAATTGTAAAGTCTTTACATAATACACGACGCACGACTTATATTAGACTTTCGTGAATTTAGAATTTGATAATAACAGATATGTGGTGGAAGTACTTAAGAATAACCTACAAGAGCACATATATAAATGATACTTTTTATAATTGCATATATATAATTAAAGGATACATTGGCGCTGCAAAAGAATTAATAACCTACAAAAGCACATATATAAATTATACTATTGATAATTGCATGTATATAATTGAAGGATACATTGAGGCTGTAAATAAATTGTTTAATTATAAAACTGATTCAAAATGGAGACCCTGAAAGAGATACTTATCGAACTATTCAAGGCACTTCCACGTATATCCATTTTTTCGGATTTTAATTAACGTTTCACGATAAATTTATTATATCAAAATGATCTATTAAATTAATTACATGTTTTGATGCATAAATTAATTAAAACTAATCAAGGAATTAATTAAAAACGCTTAATTAACTTGACCGCGTGTTAATTCTCGAAAATCTATTTGACAATTGATGCATGTGAAGTTAACAACATGTGTCAAAATATTTGTCGTCATTAGTATAATTTAGAGCGCGAAATTCGAACAGAAATTTAAAACAATGTGAAATTCACCTATTTGAATATATACGGTAAAAAGCAAAGTTTTTAAATATGTGATTTGAATATATACGGTAAAAATCCGTGGATAGATATCTTTGAATATTTCATAAAAATAAAACTACAAAAACTTACAATTAGTCAGGAAATCCGTGGATAGATAGATAGATAGATAGATAGATAGAATATCTTTGAACATTTAGGAATATAAAACGACCAAAACTTTGTTTAAAAAACCATGGATATATTTTTGAATTTTTGTTATTAATATTATTATTAACAACTAATAATAATATTATATTTATTAATTCATTCAATTAATTCAATATTTTTCTATAAAATTGTACAATGATTGTTAAAATCGAAAAAATTAAAACATTGGATTGAATGCCTAGTTTAAATTTGTTTAACGTGCTGAATTACGATGTACACATAGTGTCGAAACACTCAAAACGCACATAATAAATAATTAATTATTTATTGCTTTTCACTTCGACTATTTGGTTACAAATAGATATTTCAAGAATATGTTTCAGCATCGAACAAAAAATCTAAAGTTTATATATATACAGTAGACTCTCATCAGTAAAATTACTGATATATATATATATATATATATATATATATAGAGGGTAGCGGATATATATATATATATATATATCCGCTACCCTCCGGTTTTTAATAATGTCGAATTGGCGAGAGTCTTCTGTCTATACATATGTATATATAAATATATTTAAATAAATCGTGCATTATAAACAGCTTGGGCTTCCCTCTTAAGTTCGCCCAATTTATATTTCCCTGATGGAGTCATTGGAATCTGGTCCACGAAGATTACACCCCCGGTAAGATGCTTATAATCAGGCAAATTATCTAGAAGAAAAGATAAAAATATTACTATTTTTAACAATCATCTAATTGGTTATAGTACTAGAATTAATTATATCACCTGCTACAAGTTTCTGAAGTTCTTGTTCCGTTGCATTGCATCCTGGTTTTAGCACAACAAAGGCAACTGGTATGTCGAACAAATCTTTTCCGACGACCCCGACAACGGCGGCAGTTTGGACGCAGTGGTGCTTGTATAATTCGCCTTCGAGATCGTTCGGCGTGCACTGTTAATAAATAAGATAAAACTAGCTGTAAGTGGAATTCTGTCTTAAGGGGGTATTCTAGTGCAGAGCGATGAATTTTAGGTCATTTTTAAAGTGTCGTTAAAGAAAGCAATGAATGTTTTTACTATCCATTTTTTTACCATTTGTTTATTAATATTATTAAGATACAAAACAAAAATTAAAAAATAAAAAGTTGAAAATTGTAAAAACTGGCAACTGATGAAGTGGGTGATCTCAAAAAATTGGCACCTCAGTCTTGACATGATTTCAACCCTTCTAGCCATCGAAAATGCAAAAAATAAAAAAATTATTAATCTATAATGATGTCGCAATCGGCTGAACTAGCGATGAGTAAAAAAAATTTTTTCACAAATTGGCGACTGTTTGAAAAAACAAGTTTTTTTTACTGTTTTTTTTTTTTTTGAGTTTCTCGATTTTTTTTAAAATAGTAAAAATAAGAATTTCGGGATGATTCTAGTTCAGACCATAGATAGATCTATAAACAAGACTATCTGAAAATTTCAAATAAATTGGTCGAGTAGAACTCCAGAAGTCGTGTCAACAGTACTGAAAAAGTAAGTTCTGAGAAAAACGCATTTAAAGTTTTGCGTGAAGCGAAACCAGTATGGAGACCGAGTCAGTAAAATGCCTATATCTCCAAAAATAATTCAAATTTTCAAAAACCTTCTCGTACTTATATTCTTAGATAGTTAAACTTTGAAAATATGAAATAAAAAAAAATCGATTTTTTTGAATTTCTACACTAGAATACCCCCTTAAGGCAATAAGGGCATCGTGCCTTAAGGCAAATTGCTGGAACTTCCCGTACCGCAATTCAAAATTCGAGTAATTAAAAATAATCAATGATAATAATCAATAAAAGTTGATCAATGATTTGAAACTTTTAATAGAATTTTGAACCATATTAAATCATTCTATCTCAAATCATTTATTTTGATAATTTATTTTGGAAATTCTGAACTTTTTTCGAAGCAATCGTACTGCTTTAACTGCATAAAGACAAAATATAAAAGCGTGTAAGCGCCGCGTCGCCGTCTAACGCGTAAACATTGGTACTGAACCCAGAGGAATATAAACAAAATTTATACTTATTATTAAAATATCTGTAAAATATCTGATAATTTGATGTGCATATGTCTAAATGATCATTTTTGACCGCCAAATGGCATTTTTTTTACTTTTCTCACTAGAACTCCGAAACCGCTAGACCTGTCTTCATAAAATTTGATCAGTTCTTCATCTCGTTAATACAAGTAAAATGTTTTTCAACGTTCAACGTTCCCTTAAAAACTGAGTTAACGTTTTTGGCACTTTTTGCCCCATATCTTCGGAACGGCTAGACCTGCCTTCGCCAAAAACTAATCAGCACTTCTCCTTATCAATACGAATCGAATATTTTTTGAATTATTCAAATCGCTTCATCCCTGTTCTCGAAATCGTCGACGAAAATTTGTATCCGCACACACATACATATACGCACACACATACATACACACACATACATCCATTTTTCTAAGGTATGCCAAAATGTTCAGAAACCTCTGAAACTCTGAAGATATATAAAAATTTTCAATTTCGATTTTTTTGCGATTGCTATAACTTGCCCTACGGGAAGTTAACAATTAGTGATGATGGTTAAATAGGATAACATCTCTCTTATTGTCTCACCGAGAACATTCGACTAGTCCTCAGCATGTTCTTCCTTCTATCAACTAAGAACAAATGATCTTCTTCGTCAAAGTATCCAACATCGCCGGTTTTAACCCATCCATCGTCATCAAACAGTTCTTCATTGGCTTGAGGATTGTTCCAATATCCCTACAAAATATTCTTCTGCAACAATATTTTATAATTTGTAATGGCTTAAATTTGTTATTTACCTTTGCTTTGAATGGTGGATTTATGCATACTTCTCCTGTCTCGAGTCGCGGAAGAATTTTTCCATCATCTAAACTAACAATCTACAAAAAATCATGATAAAGCTATTTTCATTTGTATTTTGTATGTACCTATAATACTAAATTCATCATACTTTAGCGTGATATCCTTTATGTAATTGTCCTACAGAGTTTGGCTTTAACATTTTATCAATGTTCATGGAAATTCCACCAACCTCGGTTTGGCCATAATTCATTCGGATGAATCTACAATAAGCATATTGAAAAAATGCGGTAATAATTTAATATAAATGGAATAATTCATGTAAGTACCCATTTTTTAAATATTTATTGACATCTTTAATAAGTTGAAAGGGCACAGATCCGCCTCCGACCCATATCTTTCTAATGGTTGACAAATCAGCAGTACTTAAATGTGGATGACGTGCCATTTTTCCAAAAAATATATGCGAAAGAGCCACAGTTGTCAGCTAAAAGTGAAATATTACTGTCCCTGACATCATTATACATTTTATCCAAAACTTACTTTGTGCTGATGTATACATTTAAATAAAAATTCTTCGGAAAATGCTTCGGTGGAGATAAGTCTCATACTGCCGGCTAAGCAAGAACCAACGGTCACGTACAAACCAGAGCTCCAGTAAATTGAGGAAAATGTGAAAACACGATCTTCAGGATCGAGAAGTCTATTAAAAAGGATTTATAAAATAAAATATTAATCTTGTGCTTAATATTACTGATATCGAGCATATTTTTTTCTAAAGCCTACTTAATTAAATATGCAAATGGTAATTAGTGGCCCATAAGCATCAGTACCTCAATTAATTGAATTAAAGTTAGAAGACTTAAGAATAGGATAGTATTACACATACTTAAGGGACACAACTATAGTGTGAAATTTTCAAAAAAACGAATTTTCAATTTTTCCATATTTCGTTAGGTTATACTTTTAAAAATAACATACCAAAATTTTAAATCGATATCTTAAATAGTTTTTGAGTTACAGCCATTTAAAGAGTATATATAGTATATAGTATAACAATCATTGAATCTTTAAACGCGTTTTTCTCGAAACAGCATTTTCCGAATTTGCTGCAGCGATTACTCAAAAACAAATGATCCGATCACTATAAATTTTTTTTACATGTTCTATATATAGTTCTCCGTAAAATGAACTGTCGATTTTTTGATCGGATCAAAAATCGAATTTTGGCAGTCCAAAAACGACCAAAATTTTGGGTAAAATTCGACTTTTTTAAAAAAAAACGCCGTCATTTTGTCAATTTTTGATTTTTTTTCTTTATCGTAGTTCATTTTACAGACAATATTATCTAGTTTAACGATTTTTTTTAAATTTTATCCACGTAGAAGGCCGGAATCACTGCAGCAGTGAAAGGCCTTTTTTTGTCGCGCCGTTGGATAACTTAAAAAATATTTAATGGTTTTCTTCAAAAATTTTACTATGTGTTCTTAAAACATGTATAAAAATATTCCTTATATTTTGAAATGATTGATAAAGTAGTTTTTTTAATATAAATTCCAAAAAATCACCTTTTTTTAGGCGGTTACACTAGTTGTGCCCTTACACTTCTGTTTGTGAAAGAATTGGAATTGGAGTAAGTACTTAAATCTGAATATTGTATCGTATGCTGCAAAATGGTTTTAACATGTGCATATTGTATAAAACAATTTATGACTTCATATAATTTACTAATAAACAAAAGTTGACTTACGTTGATTGCATGAAAGGCCTAGGTATATAAGCATGGGTAGTCATTACAGTTTTTGGAGCACCCGTACTGCCGCTCGAACACAATAGAAAAGCCACCGATTCAAATGTATCTCCCACATCGACAGCCCTACATTAAAAAAAAATCTTAAAATATGCTTTCAGTCATATACCTAAAAAATAAATTTAGAATTTGTACGCTCTCAACTACTCGTAATAGTAAAGATTTATAGCTCAAGCTATTGCCAATCACAATTTTTAGTCTAGATTGAAATTAATTATTATTAGGTGATTAGTTTTTAAAATACGTTTGGTTTAATCATTCAAGAGTACAGTAATACCCCGTTTAACGCTGTTTCGATTTAGCGCTCTTTTATTTTAAGCTTCAGATTTTGAAGAGGTAAATGTAGAAGATGTCGAAGAAATAATTCAGGAAGCAGCGCAGTCGCTATTATTTTTCCAAGAAATAATGTGGTGCTAATTTGGGACTAAAAAAAATAAATATCTGGCTTTATTTTTATTAAAAAATATACTTTTTAAAATTAATACCTAACCAATTTCCTAGCCATCTTCCCTAACCCCAATATTTCCATGTAAAGATAGCCTCATTTATCGCATTTTTGCCTTCAGCTAAATTAACTTAAAAAGCATTAACCCCGCGATAAACGGGGTATTACTGTGTATATATAAGCTTTTGTTTAGTAATACCATTCAATTTCCGGAAAATTAAATAAATGTATAAAAGAATTTTTCGTTTTTAATAGTTCCTAAAAGAAATGAAAATTAGTCATATGATCAAAACGTAGAAATGATTTAACTATAATTTATTAATATGTAAATTTATGTTTACTACTCAAAAACTAAGTGCTGAAACGAATTAAGGAAAAAGCCTGCTTTAGAGCCTTGAAAAAAACGATTTTTTTTGGCAAAAATGTCTTTCAAAACTAGCCAAAAATATATCCTTAAAATTTCAAAAACAAATTCAATTTAATTTCGAAATTACAGAATAAATAGTAAGCAAGAGTCAAGCATGTATACGAGCGGAAGGAAAACATCGACGCGCGATTTTTCAGTTTTTAATTTTTTCGATTCTTCCTAATTGTCGGGAAAGATAGGAAAAAACTAGACATCCTATCGAAACGAGACAAAATTTATTGTATTCAGGATTAAATTCTATTCTAGTTGAAACTAAAAAGAATTAAAAAAGTTATAATTAACTCACTTTTTCAGGAAACTAAAATGAAACTTTGTATCAAAAAAACATGATTTTTTATTCAAGTGCAAAAATTAGGAGCCTTCTCATTTTTTCTGGATTTTTTAGGATTAACTAAAATCTATACTATTGAAAATATATATTTGTTTTGAATTTTTTTATTTCGGATGGAAATTGTGACCTGCATCTTCACGCCAAATGATACCTGCAGCTCACGGCGCACTGGCAAAATGCTTGTACCCGGCATATTATGAGATATATTTTAATGAAAAAAATTGAGAAATTTTTTTAAATATATAACAATGAAACCTGAAAGTTTCGTTTCAATTAAATATTTATTTCCTTCCTTAAAAATTCCTAAAAAGAAGCGATTTTTTAAAGCCTTCAAAGCAGGCTCTCCCCTTAATAATATGTCAAGGTACCACTGTGTATATGAACTCAAAATAAATCATATGTTTAAATCAACCCAAAAAGCAAACATCTTCTCCTGTTTAGATTTCCATATAATAATTCGCAAATATTGAACTATAAATCATATATTTACATTTACTTACTGAAACTTGTCTTCAGTTCCAGTAGGTGTTTGGAAATCCTGAAACGATGGACAATTTCCGACCTTGTCGATAGTGACGAGCAATGCATCGTGCTTTGAATTATTCAAAGCCTTTTTAACCTTTTCCAAGACAATATTCTCCGTAAAAATGAACTTTGGACTTGTATTCTTCACGATGTGCGTTATATCATCTAGAAGGATAAATCATTATAAGTAATTGAAATTATAATCAAACATTAAATGAATTAAAGCAAATGTATTAATTAAAGTACACTTACAAATTTCTGTAAATATTTCTAATAATACTAGATTGATACCGATAATAAATTAAAAATTATTAATTCAGTAATTTATTAATTAAAGATAATCATCAACGATTTGATAAACCTATTTATCAGAACATGAACGTCTAAGTAAATCTATCAAGATGTATCGCGAAGTTAAAAATATCTGTAAATAAAATCTTATAATACAAATTTGCTGGTGATAATTATTTAATTTTATATATTAAAATTTAAAATTTATACTGATTGTTTTTATGCAGATTAGCATGATGTTTTATATGCACAAAAACAAAGACAACTTTTAATTATTTATCAAAACACACATGGAACGTCGTATAATCTAGTATCGCAAGCATACAAATTTCTGTAAATACTTCTAGAAATAGTAACTTGATAGTGATAGTATTTATATTTGTACTATTTTAATCTGTTTAAAGGATAAACGGATAAGACGTTTGTGATCAGAGATTGTAGTGACAATGCATATTACAAGAGCCTCATGTCGAATCATTATCTAAAATCATTATTGATAACGATCTGAGCATCAAATAAGAAAAATAAACCGTACTAATAACAAATAAATACCAAACTATGATAATCAAATCGATGTACAAACAACAATACACTTATAGATAAAACATTGAATAAATAAATATACTTCAAATTGAATATTCATCACCGGCGGTTATTGATGACTATCGATCGTCTAATGATGATCGTCCAAATAATTGAAATATTTTTTTTTCAATTTACCTTCTCCAAGAGCCACGTCTAAAGGGTTTACAATAGCACCAGCAGCTAAGGCACCAGTAAGCAGGACCAGGGAATCAGCAGTATTACGCACAACCAGGGTTACTATGTCACCAAGACGAACGCCCTTTCGGATAAGGGCCTGGGCAAATCTTACACTACGAAGCCACAAGCTTCCGTAGGTTTCTTCAGCGCCAGTAATAGCTTCTATCTATGTAAAAAATACAAAAAAAAAAACTAGTTGTAGGTAACATTCCATAAACTTTTCGATGTGTATACATAATGGACTTAATAAGAATTAAGTTTTAACTATTTAGGCAAAAAGTTTAACTGGTTATTCCGGAAATGAAATAAGAAAAAGCACGAAAAGCATAGATTCTGATTAGAATCGTGTAAGCGCGGGCCGTAGTTCCAAACTTTGGTGATATTTTATAATTATCTTTATGAATCACTCATTAGCAGTGGCGTCGGAACTGTGTGGGCTGTGTGGGCTTGAGCCCACCCATGAATTTTGATTTTCTCATAAATATGATATTGTCTCTAAAGTCTAAAAAAAAGAACAAGCCCGCACTTGCTTTCTGAAAAAAAAACGAGCCTACCCATCAAAAATTTGCTTCCGATGCCACTGCTCATTAGTATGCTTAAATTATTTTCAGGACTATGAAATATATCGTCATACAAAGTTTCCTCAAAAACGTCAAAGAAAAATTTACCAATTATTAATTACAAAGAAACGGCCCGGTCGATCTTTACCAAATATTAATCGCGATTGCCAGCCCATGTCCTTCGAACTTTGTGAACTTTTGAAATCGGTTCGTGATCGTGAGCCAAAACATGAACCAAAATTTTACACTATCCTGCTAATTACAAAGAAACGGCTTGGTCGATCGACACAAAACTGACGACTGCTAGTATTTATCGAGCTAAGGGGCGCCTATTAATGACGTGATCGATTTCTTAAGTATTTTAAGACCACCCAACCCTGATGATATTCAAAATTACCCCTCACTACCCTCCTACACGTGAATTTTCAGTCACGACAAAAATTGTAAAATTTTTGATTTTTTTAAAAAATATTTTTAAAAATAAATACACGTCATATTTTACTATACCCCTAAAAACCTCATGTGATTAATGGACGCCCCTTTACATCGAATGGCTTTAAAACTCGGTCCAGCCTTTTTTGAAAAAAACGTCGCCGAAAGGTAAAAAATCGGCTCACACAACACATACACACGAAATTACGAATATTCAAAAAAATTATCGTTACAGTTTTAGAGATTTTATTTGATAATACTAACTGTACGATAAACTGTATGATAATTTATTTGAATATTTGTACTTTAACCCCGATACCCGCCGTATACCCCGGTATACTATGTTTTTCTTTTATAAATTTAATTTTTTTACAATGATAAGTTTCAAAAGTCTGAAAATGGCACAATGCGCATATAAATAAGTATATTTGATATTTAATCAAATATACATAAAATATTTCAGTTAATATTATAGTTATAATTAATATATATATAGAGATTTGAATTGTATGAATCAAAAATAAACAATATAATTTCTTTAGCTTAAGATTCGGTCTAATTTATATTGATATGACACACGTTGAAATGTTTTTACATTCCGTATCTAACCGGTACCCTATATCATAAACCAACCTCCACATAAGCATTGTTCCAGGTTGAAATCGTACCGGCCGCACGATACCGTAAATATCCCATAAGTGATTCAGTAAAGTAATTATTTATAAGTAAATATATAAATGATTAAAATAATAATTATGCAGTTTTATCAAAATGAAATGCGCTTATTCAAAAATAAACATTCGTTTCATGACTAGTATTATTATATTAACAATATAATCAATATATATTTAATTAAACTCTGAAAATTAGTTGCTGATAATTTCGCGCCAATGCGAATGAATCATACGCAAAATTAATTGCTAATGATTAATTAATAATAATGATTCATGCAGAAAATTTATTATTCTTATAATGTTGTGAAGAAAAACTCCTTGCAGATTTCTTACATGTAAACTAACAATAATTATCAATTTCAAAACAAACCGTTAGGTATAAAATCGTTTCAACTTCTCGCGGACTATTAGTTTGAGTGAAACATTTGTTCCATAAACGTGCAATATGAATATAATTATAGTGAGTTTCGTCTTTTATTTGGCGGTAGTAAAAGGTCATAATTTGAGTGAAATACGAAAACTATCTACGCACATTGATGTGCCACTTTATGAAGCTCAGGATTATGATTCGAAAAAGCATATTGGAGTCGATATGAAAGTTACACAGGAACTTATTGCCGTCACTGAAGGAATTAAACGGATACTAAATTGGGCGGACATTGAACCAAACAGTTACGAAGTAGTTAAATTTAAATTATATTTTTTGGAATTATACAAACTCGCAACTTCAAAATCATATGAAAAACTGTTATCATCGATTACACTAAAAAAAATTCCATCCTTCACACAGTATATCAAAAATAAAAGTTCTATTATGGAAAAGAAACAGGGAATTAAAACTATTGCCATGAAACATGAAGAACTCTCAGATATAATGGTAATGTTGGATATTTTTTCCCAATGGCTTGGGAACTTAAATTGTGAAAGTATTTTTTCTAGTATAAGCAACATGTACGATATGAAAGAAGCATTAGTTACCCAAAATTTTAAAGATGCCGACAATTATTTAGGCAAATTTCTTATTATTATTCAAACGCACATAATTGATAAATTGAGTCAAACAGTTCCAAAAATTCAAGAGTAACACAAAATTTGGTTAGAGTAGCGGACAGATTATCAGGACATTGGAATGAAAAGTTTATAAAATAATTCAAAATAAACGGAAATATCTAATTGAATGCAGATTCATTAATGGGAATGGATTTGGAAGCCGAATAATTAATTAATGTGCTATTGTTGACATTCTATTATTAGTTTACAAAACACTCTGTATCGACATCAATGTCATATTATAATTATGTAAATTCCTAGCCTTAAGTTCATATATTTATTTTAATTATAAATATTTATAACATATTTTAAAATATAACCTAATTATATTGTTTATTATATAAGTATATGTATCATCAAAAATTAAAATAAAAGTTAAAATGTACTTATAATTTGCAGAAAATTCGTTTGACTTAATTTCATCAATTTTTCATGCAAGACTACTTAGAACAACAACTTACAGTAAAAAATAAACAATTTTATGTAATAATGAAAAATCTACAATTGATAGATTTTCAATCGATAGATTTATAGCAGAATAAAGATTCATTTAAATACAATCCGAAAATGAAAATTATTCTCAATTTATGTATATTATGATTCCAAATAGCAAAAAATAAATTATTAGAAAAATAGCGCATTATGCTCTTGGGGCGTATAAAAAAATAGTAATTTGGTTTGACCATTCTAGTTTAGTTAAAAATGTATCAAAAAAATTAAAATATCAAAGAAATTTGAATTGCCATAATTCTTGAAAACACTATTTTTATGTAACTATGACTGACATGGCTCTATATTAAAAGTTTTTTTCTTAACGAACCAAGAAATTTTCAGGTCAATTTGTGAAACATATATGCCTGACAAAGCTTATGTAGACTTTCTTAGCGTCAGATACATATGATATTTTATGATATTTTGTGTTAATAAATATCATTCTGATTTACGGAAACCCACATGTTTTTTTTTCAACAATACACGCAACTACTACATACAATTATTATCTAATAATCGTCATTGAAAATGGAATGTACAGATTTGTTGATTGCTACAAACACGAAATGTTTATTATTATATTTACATTAATTGATTACCAAATAATTATTTGATTTATTATGTAAATGTATATATATATATATATATATATATATATATATATATATTACATATTGAAATATTTATATGCAAGCAAATAAACGAAATAAAAAGCAAAAATAATTTAACTATTTATTATATGTATATAGGTTTGAACACTGTATGTGTATCATCATTTAGCCAAATTCTAAAGATTTTACAAAGTTAAAAAAAATAGAAAAAATTAATTAATGTTAAATATTAACATTATGTAGTTAGCCACGTGGTTACCAAATGTATATAAACGTTTATATTATTTTTAAAGTTTATTTAAGAAAAAACATGCAATATGTTTAAATTTTACTTAAATGAAAATTGTTTCATAATCTCGCATACCAGACACCTCTATCTGACTGAGATGAAAATAATATTTAAAATAAATATAAAAAAATGTTTGTTTTATTGATATTTATGTTTAAATTTGTTATAACTTCTCTATGAGTTATAGAAGAAATGACTAAAGTATATAGTAATTTTATTATCAATTTTAAACTTGTTAAATTGTTAACAACTGTTAAACTTGTAATTTATTTAGAATTTATGAACTTACTGAATTTTGACATACATGCAGTATCGAAACTTATATAATAAACACTTAAATTAATTATTGCTTTTTACTTCGACTTTTTGACTGCAAATAAAGTAACCCAAAACAAAAAAGCCTAAAGTTTAAGTTCACCTTATTATATAGGTAGCCGATATCACGATATTTCGCAAGTAAATTTAATATCATTTCATACAAGATAGTAAAAATAAATTTGATAATAATAAAAATTCACTCACATGTCCAATTCGCTTTTCATTTCTTTTCATAGCATCTAACAGCAACTTTCCAACGGACACATCTGGAACAGGCGGCACGTATTTTCCAGTCTTAATTATATTATTTTCCATTTCAAACGATCCAAATCAGAACTCTCACCGGCAAGATATTTTCTTTTCAGAGCCAAAGCAATACTAAACAGATAAACTATCATTTTGTTATATATGTTGGAATTATTATCAATAGATTACCCACACCATTGCGACAAACATGTGAATTGTCCAAGTCACGATTATTGAGCTAATGGGCGTATTTTGTAATGCTAATCTGCCAAATAATTGGGTGATGTGACGATGTAATAAACATGTTTATACATTTTATGTTTATTTTCCTGACAAACTTTTAAATTATATTTTTATTGAATATGGAGAGTGTGATATCGCATGATCCGATATAAACGACCATTTCAAGAATAAGAAGTGGTCAATGGATAAAATGTAGCCAATTTTAACGAATTGACCCCTGAGTAATAAATAAATCAATAAATGAATAAATAAAATGCTTTAATTTATTTGAAAATTAATTGAATAGGGCAACAAATATTAATGAAAATTAATAATGAAATGATAATTACGCTGAAAAAAAGGAGAAGCAAGAGGCATTCTTTCCCAAATCGATATTTAGCAACTTTTAAAATGGTAACGACGGTAATTTTAAACACGGCACATTATTAAAAACTTTGATGATTTTTTATAATTAAACCATTTTTTGCATATTTTTAATGTTTTAGTACGTTTGTTAAAACCATGAACTCTACCACAATAAAACGATTCATAAATTCGAAGAAACGGCCCTACCAATCTTTCCCAACAACTAATTAACGCGATTTCCGACTGATTTTCAAGTAGTTCTTGAATTTCCAAAATCGGTGTATAATTTTTGGCAACAACGTAGGCAAAGAATTTATTTTTTTCTAAAAAAAAAAAAAAAAAGCCTCGGCTAATCGCCTCGCAAAACTAAACCACGCAATTTCTTATTGAATTTCAGAAATGGCTGTTAAATTTTCTAATAAAAAACCATTTAAGCTCCTAATATGTTATTTTTAATTTGTTATTCATTTCGTTGACAAATATTAACTCCACTTCACTGCACTCACACACAATCAATTCCACAAAATATTTTATCAGAATTTTGAACATCTAAATAAGAAGCCCTTGCAAAAAACATAACAAAGTATTATTGAAAAAATAATATACATAATAGTGTAATTCATAATAATTATCTTAATATATTTAGTTAGTATAATTTATTTAACGACTAAGTTGTGTCTGCAATGAACGGAATTGCTGAACAATACTTTGAGATTCAGTTGCTGAAATACTCATTGCCGTATTGATGCAGGATGATACAAAATCTTGCAAAACAGTTGTTAACTTTATCCTAGCAAAAAAAAAAAAACATTTTGATCAGTATTTCCCTAATTAAAAAACTTACTTGATTATAATTATAACAAACGTACCTAGTTTTATATGATAAACTCGATTTTTGTTCAATGAATCGTTCAACTACTTGTGCACAAGCTTGAAGAAAATATAATTCGTTACCCTCATGAGACCAGCATCGATCATTTGAATGCAAAATGCTAAAACAAAATAATGAGTAAAAAGTATTAAAAAAAATTTGTTTAAATTATGATTGTTCCTACTGGTTGTATGTTTCATATATGTTCTCCAACGTAATTCCACTTTGCAGTAAAGTTCTAGATACTTGTGAACAATCACCTCCAGTTCGACATGATAAAATTTCCAGCTTACGGGTAATAAAAACTGCAACATAATCATAATACATGTTTTAATTTCTTAATAAATGTTTATATTTTGTTCTTACCTAAAGGCAGGCAATATGGGGTGCTTCTATACTGGGTTACGAGAGGTTTGATATTTAATAAAACTTTTTCCATCCTGTATTGAAGTGGTGCTTCTTCTGCTTGATGCAATTGTTGGTCTAGAATATTTGACCAAACACTTTCAATTAATCTAGGATCGTTGTGATCAGAACATTTCAATAAGGCCAATTTTGCCTCATATAAATTCAGTGGATCTGCAAAATCTTGATATAGCTGGAAAGTAATTTTATAATATAAATAAAACTACTGTATATATATATATATATATATATATATAATACATTATATGTAAGTAATATATTATTACCTGTGTAACATCAAATAGTCGTTTATTCAAAATAGATAAAATATTATCAACATCTTGTATTTGAGACTTCATCAGCTGTATATTATCAATAACTTTTTGTTGAATAGCTGCTATTTCAATCTTATCCTCTATATCTCTCATGAACAGTCCATTTTGTGTAGTGAATCCAGTTTTATTATTTCTCAAAGACATTACTGCGCGACCCATGTATCGAACCCTTTCTGACAGAGTCATATTCACACTAAAATATGAAATATTTAAATAGTACCAAACAGAAATGATAAACATTTCTATGATGAATGCATACTTTTGTGAAACAGCCAAATTGTAAAGAAGTTTTGCAGCAGTAATGTGTTCCCCATGGATTTCATAATACTTATATAAAAGCTCACAAACTTGAATGTATTCTGGTTTTCTGGTCAAAACAGATTCTAAGTAACTAGCTAATGATGGTGATGCATGTGGTATGATCTCTCCGAGCATGTCATGATTAAGCATCCATTCATATACAGAAATGTGTAAAAGTTCATCTTCATTTTGCAGCACTAATTTAATAATGTGTTCAATCTTAAATAGACAAAAACAGAACAATTATCTATATAAAAATATGCATTTATCTACAACTAATATAATGAAAATTACATGTTTGCTTGCATTTGGTAAAAATTCTGTTGATGCATTATTTGGTTTATCCACAAATTGTACCAAGTGTTCTAAGGCCAATATGATTTCACGGTACATCTTCATTCTTTAACAAAAAAAAAAAAATGTAAATGAGTAAAACATGAAATTGTTTTTATACATATTACTAAAAATACCTTTCAGATAGCATTTGAGAGCCTTGAATATCTTCTTGAGGTTCTCTATTTTTGTAATGAGCCAATGCAATACCATTCGGGTCTAGAGCCTTTGCAGATGCACTGCAAAGATGAACTAATGCATAGTAACCTTCAGCAGCTGCAAACTGAGGGCAAACTGCATGTAGACAAAGATCCGGGACAACCCTTTTACATAAATCTAAAGCCAATTGAATCATATCATCGCGATCATCAGGATGGATCTCCCTCTTAGGTTTCTTGTTATCAGCTATTATTTTTAAAAGTATTTCATTTGCCTAAAATCCAAACAATAATTATAATTTTGGATATAATGCACTTGTTAGTACAAAAAAAATACTTTTGAACAAGCAGCATCTTCGCTTCTGTATAAAGTAGGACAAAGCTTCCGCAGTCTTGTGCTGATGTTTTCCACGTCCGCATTATTGCTCAAGTAAGAATTGATTAGAGAAATGATCATTGCGACACAAACTCCATAACCAAGCACAAACAAATCCCTGGCAATAAAAAATATTAATTGAGATTATTTCTTTGAACTACAAACAAATATATAAATGTGGATTTTTATATTTACTTAAAAGTGAACTCTGCAAGACGCTCTTGCATATCTTCAGGAATCTCTGCTGCAATCAAGTGAAAACGATGTTCAATCAAAATTTTCCAAAGATTCAAAACCTCGCAAACATGAGCTAAAAAAATTTCTAGTATTACTAATAAATTTACTTATGAGACATGTTTGTGGATACCCCATTTACCTAAAAATTTCAACATTGTTTCTAACTGAGTTTTTTCTTGCATGTAAGGATCTAAATTTTCAACACCAAAAGTAGCATTACTATCTGCACCAACAGGAAGTCCACAAGTTTTCTTGAGCCCCGTTATAGACATGTGTTTATTTAAAAATTGTCCGAGGGTATATAAATGATACAGAATAACTTCACAATCCTCCTTTGTTAAAACACTTAGCAACTGCAATTTGAAATAAAAATGTTTAAAAATTAATATTCAAATATGACTAAATAATTATTGTTTTCATACATTATGTTTGCCACTTTCAGTGACAACTTTTTGTACACAATTTCTGTTCCATAAAGGTCTCAATATTCTACTAAAATATAAATTGAGTCCTATATGTTTAGTCGAAAATTGTATCATAGATGTTGATCCCGGTTTTCTTGTATCGGGAGACATGTAATTCAAGTTATTTCTGGGAGTCATTAAAGTTGGTGACTGAGGAGGTTGGGCCTGATATCGCCCAGGGCTATTCATTAATTGAAATCCATGCATCGGTGTTGATGCCACATATGGAGCAAATGTATTATCTGAAACAAAAATATGTATTAACATAAAACTAAATAACATATGAAACCTAACATGCATACCGTATCGAGTCTTGTTTATCATACTGGCATTCTGCATATCCTGCGAAGGGCAATTTATTTTTTGGGGGTACCCACCATACAAGAAAAATGCTTGTGTAGCCCATTCCATTATTTGTGGTGATGATTGACTTTCTAAGCATGCCAAAACAAGAGACGTAGCACAGGCTTGTGCATCAGGCTGGGACTATCAGAGAATATTCTTAACATTAGTATTTAAATGATTATTAAAATATTTGCACTTTACAAATTTGGTTATCACCTCAAAGTAATATTTAACAGCTTCATTGGCAGCTCCTTGGCTATTAATTAACAGTTGTTTTAATACATCAACAGGTCTTAGCAAAGATACAATGTGACAGCCTTGAGGGGAAAGTATTACCCATCTCCTGGGGGTTTGCAAATGCTGCGATACTACTAATGGTGCTGAAGCTATCATAGGATCTGTATTTAAAGTAGCAATCACAAAATTTTAAGACCAGATCAATATAAAGTTAATATAAGAGTTTTTAAATAACCTCTCAATACAGTCATATTATCCTCAGTATGCTTTAATTCTGCGGCTGTCCAAGTTGGACCATCCAGTGGCAATCGAGTAACAGATTCTACCAACTGGTTATGAAAAGGAAAATTGTCTATACTCAAACACCATAATGAGTCACGATCAGGTGTATCTGATGTGAGCATCAAATAATTTCCTAAAGTATTAGAAAAAATTAAAAGGTTTTAGCAAATGTTGTAGCAAATTGAACAAAGAAAGAATATTTCCATTATACCTTTTTTGTATAATGCAGTATGTGCTTGTGATGGTCTACTGTGTGAACTTCTTGGACTATATCCTGGTGGTAGCCTTATATGCATCATTTGCAATTTGAAAGGACGACTACGTTCATAGCCTGTTGTAAAATACAAACGTACACCACTACCAGTCATTGCTACCATGTGGTATACATTGCATTCTTCTTGGCTTACTGGTATGACTTCAATTATATGCTGATATAAAGACTCATTTATAACACTAAAAATTATTAAAATATATATATTTATAATTAAACAATTATTGTTAATACTTTTAGACAAATGTTACACTCACGGTAGAACGCTCCTGGCACATCGTGATATCTGTGCATGAGACATGCGTGCAACTGATTTCATTTCATCCCCACTTTCACCAAGATCAAAAACTTCAATGCTACTATTTTGGGTAAGGCAATATAGTATATTACGTCGCTCATCAATTGATATAGATACTATAGGATCAACTTCTACCATAGAAGTCAGAATAGCAGGAATGAAAAAAGATAGTTTTGATGAATGATGGTTAACTCTTTTAAATCTTCTGCCAAACCAACTGTTCTCTGACTAGAAAAAAATATATCTAATGCTAACTGTAGATACAGATATTAAACATATTTTTGAAATATACCTTATATATTATTTCATAAAGACTACCATCCTTGCCGCCTAAGAAAACTCTACCTGTATCTGTTGTTTTTATCACATTAGTTATAACACCATCATTGCTTATAGTAAATATGGGTTCTGATATAAGAGTCAGATCAGTTTTATTTTTATTATTATCATTCTCTGAAGCAACGCCTGTAGACAAGAGTAATTAATCAAGCTAAATTGAAATGCATCTTGAATAATATTTAAAACTAAAGTACTTCCATTTCATTTATTAATTTAAGTAAAATTTTGTGGATACTTACCAATAAAAATTGTCTCAGATATAGTACTTAAAATTAATAAATACTGAATACAAGATGTGAAAACATTGGCGCAAGGTTTGACTAGTCCAACAGCTAATATGTTTTCACAACTAGCACTAAAATATCGCACATCGCCAGACCTCTCAAAAGTCCAAATATAAATATCACTGTCAACAGTAAGCCAAGCTCGGCCTATTTCTTGGAAAATGCCCATCATGCAGTTGGCTTTCATGTCTAGTTTATTTGAATTTAAGTCAATATTACCATAAATTATAAATTAATGATTATGACAGTTGTTGGAAAATTTAAACTTGCATAAAGTTGATTATCATACTATAAAGGATACGTTTTATATGCTCTAATATTTCAGGTGGCAGTGGTGTTTTATGCACTGTTTGCACTTGATTTATATTCATTAGGCCTCGAGACATCTCTAGAACATTTGGATAATCTTGTTCAGTACCTCCGCTTAAAGTTACAACGCCAACTGCAGATCTTGCACATTTCTAAATACATATTATGTTATAAAACTAAATCATAAGAATGGTTTAATTGGTTTAAGCTAAGAAAGTAACTTTGTAAATATTTAAACAGTTAGTGCAATTTGTTCACCTCATTAAGAGTTATCACACATGTATCCAGAGCAAGATGTTGCTCCACAATCTGCTTGGCCTGCTCCAGGTCATTTTTCTGTTGCCTTGAGTGATCCATCATTGTTTGGTCCGATATATTCAACATTTAAAAAAATATTCAAAGAAAAAATACTAAAATTTATCGTTAAAGCCCCTGCATCAATAATTAAAATATATATAACATAAAATTAAATAACAAAAACTTAAATAAAACCAAAATGAAATTGTGAAATTTGCCAAAAATATGAATTGCACAATTGGATTGCAATGTATAAAATGTTGATAACAGATTATTCTAAAATTGCAGATGCCACATTGGGTACACTTAAATGATTTTAAAAACAAGTAAAATTAGCAAGATTCTGCTTGATTTTCCACAAAAATTCTAATTCTGAACACAACATTTTATTGTCTAGAACACAACCTAACCAAAAATTTTAACCGCCGAATTAGCAAAACAAAGAGATATAAACGAAGTTTTATAAAGATGGCCTACCATTAATAAATTTAATTTCGATTAGGTATATTTTGAAACATGAAATTTACTCGACTTCCAATAAATAATCTACTAAAGATAATAGAAAATGTTTGCACTAAAATTCACAGACAAAACAAAGTTAAAAATTATTGTACAAACACATTCATATGCAGAATGACAATAATGACAGATAATAAGTCATTGCACTAAATACTAATAACCTCTTCAGCTAAATACTAATAACAAATTGAAATTACATGATTTCAAGTTATTTATAAAATATTTTGTTCTAAAATGAATAACAATTGTCCACAAAAGCAATGAGTAAATTGCCAAAAGCTACCCTTTCTCTGAAAGAGGTTGGTTCAGTGATATTTCAATTTAAGATACTTATGCAATACTGCTTTGCAAACCAATATCATTGTTATTGATAATAATTAAACGAAATCTGGTTATATAAATATTATTCTCATGCATTCATATATTACAGTTTATGCTTCGTCAAGAAGCAATAAAGTTATTTCGAGATCTCTTACGTACAATAAAACAAATACCTGATAAAGAGTCTCAAAAGGAACTACGGGACTGGGTTAGACGAGATTTTGAGTTGCATAAGAAATACACTGATGAAGTATCTGTTAAAATGGCTTTACAATATGGGAAACGAAGTCTGAGAGAACTTCAAACTAGTTTAGCATTAAGTCAGTAATGTTTTAAGAATAATGAAACAAACAATTATGTAAATACTATTTATAATAAATCAATTTACACTTATATCTCAAATGATTATCAACAATTGCATTCTTGAACCAGTTTGTGCAACTAGTTGAAAATATTATATAAATATAAATTGCATGTTGGTTTGAATATCTTTTTATTAAAATTAAATTCACCTCGTTTTATCACAAAACTATAATTTTAAAATATATACTCTGTTATGGTTAAAATCAAATTTACCATAATGAAAAAAGTTCCAATTGTTGTAATGAATAAAGTAATTGTATTCCTTGTACTTCGTTTTCGTGCCATTTTGGCCAAAAAATCATTCACTAAAGTTTGTACAATAAGTTGTCCATCGAACCAAAAGCAAGGTACAACATTAACAATAGCTAAACCCAAAGAACAAGTTACTAGATATCTCAAAAGATTTTGTACAATATCTGGAAAATTAGAAGATAAAAAATTATATTTAGGAAAAAAGTTAGAAATGAACACATTTTTAAATAAATCAGCTGGATGCCCAATATATATTACATCATCTTTATCTATGCGTTTAATATGTATTATTGATGTTGTATTTGCCAAAACAGGTCTAATACAATGGTAATCATTTTCACAATTATAATTATCATCGCAATAATGTGAGTTTTCAAGAACCGTACGCACTGGCAAACACATGTGTTGTGGCAATTCCAAAATCCCATTCACAGGCTCCAAATATTCAAAACAAGCATTTTGTTTTTTATTTTCATCACAACATTCTACTTCATTAGTATTAGAATGTTGGACTAAGACTGACTCATCGTATTCATGTACAATATCTGTCTTCACACATAAAGCAGGTTTATTTATTGCAGATTTAAGCAAACACTGATACCAGTCATCAGTACTGTCGACATTACAATTATTAATTTTTAAGATTTGATCTTTATTATTCAAACCCCTCTCTCCATATAATGGAGATCCAGGCACTACATGTGTAATAGTAGGAATATTCACAGAATACAAAGGTGAAAAAAATGTAGGTAAAGAGATAAAACAGACATATAAAATAAAAGCAGAAAATAAATTGTGCCATATTCCTGCACACAGCACTCTTAGTTTCTTCAGGGTATTTAAACTATTTAAAGCTTCAGTTTTTAACTGAACATAAGCCATGGTCATAATAAATACAACATTAGCTCCAACGCCAAGTATTTGAACATCTTCACAGACTGCAGCTAAGGCATGTCCAAGCTCATGCACAATACTACAAAATATTATTGTTATACAATAATACCAAATTTGATTAAAGGGTATATTAACTCCTATAATAATTGGCTCCATTGTGAATGACTTGGTACTTTCATTTGTTAATTGCGTTGGAAACATTTTGTTTAAACCTGATTTTATTATGATAATAAAAGCGATGGGAAGAAGGCATACTGAAACACAACACCCAAATGTAAACCATATTTGTAAAAATGCTTTGGCCTTATATCTACTTCGAATGAATTGAGAAATTGACTTATTTAAGGCTGTTGTGTGCCATTTTATATTAAAAAATCCTGGCTGTAGTCCTGTCCCACGTAGAAAGGCAACATAGGGATAATGGACACAACTCTAAAAAAATATAAATGAATCAGTATATTTGAAAACAAGTGTTTATAATGTAGTTATGAACCTTAAAAAAGAAGTCAAGGAATGATATTGCACAATAAATTGCACAAATGGCAATTAATATATGTAGTCCTTCCATACCACATTATATCAAATCAATGTCTTTCAACAAATAATATGACTTTAAATTGCGGCATTATTTTATGGTTATTTGGGGTTATTATTCTATTTAAACACATGTCATCACCAAAACCCAAATACAATGAAATTGAAGGAACAGAACATAGATGTCCGTACTAAGTTTTTTGGGCGCAACGAATTGACAAATTCAAAAATTGATTCCTGAATTTGATCTTTAGTATAAAAATAACCGTTTAATTCGTTTTTATGTGATTGAAAATTCAATATCTAGTGATTTACCTTGCACTTATTATATATTAACTTATGATAAGGACTTTATTTTGATTTGTACAAAATTTTCTCATCGTTGCGCCAGTTTTTGGCGCCCACAATGTCCTTTGTCTATGCTCAAGAATCAGTTTCTACCAGGACAGTTTCATGTGGGCGTCCATTTTAGATCAATCGGTGTACGAAATTCGTCCAGGTTCTAGATATCCCGAAAAATACTCAATAATAAAGGTACGTACTGCACATTAATCAAATACAATACATAAATATCTATATCTAGTCCTATTTATCTAAGCATATACATTTATTTCAGTGAATTTAATAGAAATAGTACCACCATTGATATCAATATGTCCGACGACAAGAAAGGTGTCGTTACTGAAGATATAGTAAAGTAATATTTCTCATACTATTATATCATAAAAGTGAAATTTATCCTTGCCAATTACTCATCACTACTCTTTTACAGAAATTTATGCAAAGATGGTGTGTTTTTCGAGGTAAACAGCAATAAGAATAAACATACCTACGATTATTACGAAAATGAGTTTTTCGACCAACCCGAGAAAGAAGAAATGTCAGATGATGATGGTTTCGAAGCTGGTGCTCCTGGTAGATATAATTTCCAAGAGATTAGTTCATCTATGGTAGTTATAGACGAAGAAGGATTGATTAAAAAGCGTACTATAAGAGAAGGAAGTGGGGAAAAAATTAGTGCAGGTATATATATAATCAGTTTAATATATGAATTATATTATATATATATATATATATATATATATGTGTGTGTGTATATGTGTGTGTTTCAATATATTTGATTTGATATTGTTCATGAGACAATGTATTTTATGCAGGTTGCTTTGTTGAAATTCATTATAGTGGCTTTTGGGATGGAGAAAGTATGTCTTTCGACTCAACTTATTTGCGTTCAGAAACTAAGGTAAGCATTATATATAAGAAATATTTAAGATATTAATTTATCAAGAGGTAACAGCCTGGACAATGTGATCATTGTCATTTTTGCCGGCATCATAAAGAATAGTCATTTTTATGAGTCTGGCGACAGTTTGAGAGGCTCTGCGTTGCTCAGTGTCGTGGCGCCAAATTTAAAACACTTATTTTACATATTTATTTTAAAAATACTGGTTTTTGTATTATTTGCGAATATCTGAATTAATGCAGTGTTGTTACTCCTTAAAATATATTTATTGGTAATTCTTTTCGATAAGTATTGAAAGAAATAATCTTAAAGTTTTTACTTTCAATTCAATAAGCTAATTTGATCTTAATTTTTTGTAGAAATTTATAATCGGAGGAGGTGAAGTATTACCTGGACTCGAAGAGTCAATCAAGACTATGAGAGAAAATGAAGAAGCTCAATTTATTATATCTTACAAACTATTATTTGGTGAGAGAGGTTGTCCACCGCGAGTCAAACCAAAAGCTGATGCCTTATTTAACATCGAAGTGTTTCATGTAATAGAGCATTATAATATAACTAAACTCAATAAATCTAAAAGGCAATCGATTAAATTTGAAGAGAAACTCAACTGCGCCAAATCATTGCATGCAAATGGTGTGCAAGCTTTTTCCAAAAAACATATAGGCACAGCATTGAAAATGTTTCATCAAGCAGTCAACGTCCTACAAAATGATGAAGACGGCATTACAGATAATATGGATGCCAAAACAGAGTTTTTAGTTAAACTGTTTAATAATTTAGCTGTATGTATAATCACTGATAAACTAATTAAACAATTATTTGTTGTAGTAAAATATGTATTTATTGCAGGTATGTTATAACAAAGAAAATAAGCCATACAAAGCTTTAAATATGTGCGATGAAATATCTAAACTAATAGATATTGAAACTAACTGTAAAGCATTGTATCAATATGGATGCGCTGTTTCCAAATTAGGAAGAAACCAGGAAGCTTTAAAAACATTCAAGAAGGCCCAATTATTAAAACCAACGGATATTAATATCCAAACGAAACTTGAAGAAACAAAAAATGCCATACAAAAAGAAAATGATCAAGAAAAAAATATGTGCAAAAAAATATTTTTGATGGAATCATCAGATAATACTGATGATAAAAAGATATGTGAACCACAAAAACTAGTAAATAATCTTATCAATAATATTAAAAAACTGAATACATCCGAACTTTTCCAGCAAACAGAAAACACAGCTCCAAGAAACAAGGCAGCATCTGCAGCATTTGTATCTGGACGTTTTTGTCAAGAAATTAAAGACACCCTTTCGTATTTCAAAACATCTAAATTAAAACATTTAGAATTGGCCATGAAACTCTCTCCGTATGAGATAGAACATTTAGAAAATGAAGCAAAAAAATTTGGATTCCGGGTGGAAAAAATATCACAAAATAAAAATATATTGTGGAAATAAACTACACTCGTAATTGTAATACACATATGTATTATACATTTTTCTGATAACTTTTCAAGACAGATTTTTTTATAGATGTAATATTTTTGAGATAAATATATAATTATAACTATCATATGTAGTATTTATTATAATAAAAGTACTTAATATAATTTCAAACAAATCGAAAATGAAAATTTTTATATATCTTTACTTTTTATATATCTTCAAAGGTTTCTGAACATTTTTGCATACCTTATTATTAGAAAAAAATGGATGTATGAGGTGTGTGTGTGTGCGGATACAAATTTTCGTCGACGATTTCGGGAACACGGTTCAACCGATTTGAATAATTCAAAAAACATTCGATTCCTATTGATAAGGAGTGGTGCTCATTAGTTTTTAGCTAAGGCAGATGCAGCTGATTCGGAGATACGGGACAAAAAGATCCAGAAATGGTAGTTGAGAGAACGGAGCGTCTGATTTCAATCATTCGAAAAACATTCTACTTGTATTGACAAAATAAGAACTAATTAAATTTTTGAAAAGACAGATCTAAAAGATATAAAGGAGGAAAAAGTTTGAAAATACATATATTTGGCGGCCAAAAATGGTCATTAGACATATGCACATCACATTATCTAATTTTATTACAATTTCTTTTGGTTCCGTACCAAGATTTTTAATTTTTAAAGTCCATGTTCAAACGAATTTCAAAATTTTCAGTTTTTTTCAATATATATATATATATATATATATATATATATTGTAGAGTTTCGAACAAGAATCCAAAAATAATACAAAATAAAAAACAAGAAAAGTTTTTAAAAAAACAGTGTTTCTAACAGTGTCAACATTAGATCAGATCACAACCTATTACATGATTCATATTTAAATTTTTTACACTTTTTGACAAACAATTAATATCGACTTCCTTTTAAGATCAACAATTTAAGTATTCACACCCTGACATATAAAAAAAACACACACATACAATCTCACATCTCTCGTTCAAGTGTTTACACGTGTTACAAAAGGCACACCAGTTTCATTTAGTTAATTTTCGAAAACCAATCGAACAACATCCAGAGAACAATATTATTTGTGTTTTCAAATAATAATTTTAAAAAAGACAAATTTTTTAGTAATTTTGATTTACAAAATCTAATTATTCGGCGGAAAATTAACTCACAAAATCATTTTTGTTAAAAAAGCTTGTTTAGTGAAAAAGTGCTAACAAATATTCAAACATACAGGTAATTAATTCAACTTTGTCATTAACCTTTTCTTAAAAAATTTCCATAACTTTCAAAAAAATTTTCTATTATGTTTAATATCCTGTTCTGATAATCCACTCATTTATTTTTATCATTTTTATTTTGAACATATTATCATATTTCTGTACATTATTATATTTTTTACAATTTAATTCATTATTTAAGAAAAATCTATTTTCTTTTCCTAAACATATTGTTTGCTAAAATCTTCATCAAGATCATGTTTCTTGACAGATGTCCTGAAGATGGAACGTACCTAGTTCCGAAACGTCGACAATAAACAAATAATTAAATAAAGAAATTGTTTTTTTAAAAACTTTTCTTGTTTTTTATTTTGTATTATTTTTGGATTCTTGTTCGAAACTCTACAAAATATACACAAATCCAAGACTCTACCATTCAATATATATATATATATACATATATATATATATATATATATATATACATAAATTTTAAATTTACAATTCAGTTTAAAAATGTATATATTTCATATGCGTTATTTTACTCGTAAGAAATATATCCTCAGATGGATTTATTCGGCACATCTTGCTAATGTAAACTTTCTCAAGTGTTTTTGAACGATAAGATCGTCGCTGTATATTTTATGAACGACAAAATATATAGAGATTATAATTATCTATTTAAAATAATTGTTATTAATCATTGATCAATATTCATTGATTATACTGATTTTTTCCTCTCGAATATTTAATTCTAGCACGGAATGTTCTAGTAATTTGCCTTAAGGCACGATGCCAGGCACCACTAATTCACAGAAAAGTTTATTAAGAAATTTAGTTCAAATATAAGAAGAAATTTATCCGCAGAGAGTTGAAAATTTGTTTCGACTAACCATTTGTCTATGTATTCGAGTCGACGGCTATTAGGACTTTACCAACCAGAAATTGTAGAATAACGAGCGCTCGTTTTAGTGGCGATCCAGAGCCGAGCGCGATATATCACGCGGCCGTATACCTACAGTTTAAATTCATAGCCAAACTATTTGAAAATTTACAACCGAATAATAAATACACAAATCACTTAAAGATGCTATAAATTATATAAATTATTTATCTCATTTATTAAAGATAAATGTGGTTAAATTCAATCAAAATAAAAAATTGTTATCTTCTATAATTAGAATTAAACATCAAAATGTAGTGATAAAAATAAACTATTTTTTTGTTTGCAAAAATATTCTAAAATGCGTAGTTATAACTATTCCCAAATCTTCCAATTATCTTATGACCTTATTTGATCTATTTCTCAACTGAAAAAAATGTAATGTTTATATGTGCATTAACACGTGAACGCTGTGGACATACAAAAATGTAGAGTTCATAATATAATTTAAAATATTCAATGTCTCTGTATGAAAAATTGCTAATTAATCATTTATGATTACATTTTATTCTGATATAAAGATCAGAACATGTCAATATTTTTTACCATTTGTACTTTGCTTCAGTGATATGAGATGAGAGAAGTAACATCTTGATTTATTTCTACTTATCTTTGTGTATAATATTTCATGTATAAAAAAAGTTAATAATATTGAATTATCAACTCAGTTCATTATAAATCGCGTGTGTGATGGTGAAGTTTAATGTATGATTATTTGTGCGAATTTGAATTACATAGAAAATTTAATGGAAATGTGGTGTATTGTGCGTTATTGTTGTGTTTTGTGATTTCTATTTTATTTTGTCATTAAACGTACCGGATATTAAAGCAAAACCAGGCGAACAGATGAAAACAATTGTAGAAGTCCATGTATAGAACATGAGGCTTATAATAGACAAGGTAAGAACAATAATGCTTCAATTTTTAGTAGAATTTCTATTTGAAATATTTTTTTTTTAAATCGATTTAAATTCTTAAATTTTCACCCTATTTTTTTTTTTAAATGGGGTAACTGGTCGTGCCACTTTTTTATCAGCAATAATTTTGTTAATTCACGCGTTAACTGGGAGAAAAGTAAATTAAATGGTAATTTGAATATTTGTCAACGAGGAAATACAGGAATACTGTCCTTAAATACAATGGATTAGTCATAAAATCAAATCATACAAGAAAAGGGCAAGTGTCACAACCGACCACAACCTCAGGGATTGTCAGAAATCGAACAAAAACTTGCTTTTAGTTTTTAGTTCTTAGGGCGCTGACTCATGCAATAATGGAAACTTGTTTGAACAAACATACTTCAGCTTTCTCTCTTTTGACGACAATCTCTACCGTAACCCTACTGATATCGACAGTTCAATACACATGATACCCTTTTACATTTCTTAATAATAGAAAAATATGGCGTTAATAAAATTGACTGATGAAAATTTGAATTATCTAAGCTTTTGTCCAACATTTGTTATTAAAGAAGTGAATTATTTGGTTGTTCTTAGGGGCAAAACAATTTTACTCCGCTAAATATAATTAGCCTGATTTGGACCATCTCAATAAATAAATGAGACAATGGTATAAAAGTTAAAGTTTTAAATGTGTAGTAGTTTTTCACTATCTGCACTAAAAATAATTATCAACTACATTTATGCAAATGTCATATATGCCTAACACAGTGCATAAAATCATAATTTATTCATTGTAATTACATTATAACTTGGACAAGTTAGCATTTCACAATTCAATTGCAAGCAAGTTTTACTAGCCTTTTAGATTTCACCCACTCAAAATTCTATGAAAACGCACCTAAGTATTAATTATGACTTTATTATATCCGGGGCGTGATATATTTTAGTAGTAAACTAAATATAAATCATGCTTGATTTATTGGTCAAGAAAGAAAAATTGTTATATGCTTCTTCGATCATGATAGAACGAAGTATTTTGTGTCCTTCTTAATTAATTTTTTGTTTACTTGGGAATAAACAATCTCTTTATATGCATTATTATTTCATATTAATAGTAAAACTATCAGCAAATACCAGATACCAGCAAAATGTAGTAAAAATGTGATTCTTTTATTATTTCATACTTATTGTGAGTTTTGTGTTATTTTCCAATTACACTCAATTTGATGCAAATTATAGTGAAATACTTGAAAACAATGTAATAATGTGTATATGTAATATGTGCTAACTCTCTGTGCTGTTGTTTAAACTATGTTTTATAAAACAATAAATGCAAGATAAACAGTGCAATGCCAGTGACCTATTCAGTATTATATGATAATACGATACAATTATGCTCATATATACATTCATAAATAATATATATATATATATATATATATATATATATATATACGAGTATATATACATATATCAATTTATCCAGTTATGCAGAATATCCTGCATATTTAAATTCAATATATATATATATATAACTTTTACAATCAGAATTAACGCCAAACTATTCTGGGACAGAGTAAAAGTAAATATGCATAAAAGACAAAAAATTCTATAATTATTGATAGGGTTTCATTGACTTTTTTGGATATTTACTTTCATATTATAATATATATTTTATATTATAAATAGAATTTTAAGATTTGGCACGAATAGAACATCAGAAGTGATGACGACTATTGGCCAATAAATCGAGTTAATGAACTGTTAAATCGCCTTAGGCTGATAATTAGAAATACACTATTTATAAACATTGAGCGTATGTATATATTGATTTTTTTATGAGAAAATATCAACGTTCACATACAGACATATTATAAAAACGAACAATATAATAAATCTAGATATTACTTAAGGGGGTATTCTAGGCTAGAAGTTTCTAGAAATCGTTTTTTTTATAATTTTAAAGTTTTAAAGTTGTAAGGTGTACAAGAGATTTTTTTAAATATATATATATATTCGGAGATATAGCTGTTTGACCACGATAATTCTACTCTGTTTCCTTCCTCAGCAAAACTTCAAACGCGTTTCTCGATACGATACCCACGATTTCTCAACTCCTACTAGATCGATTTAGTTGAAAATTTGACAGAGTCTTGTTCATAGACTTCTCATCATTATGGACTAAGATCACCCCTCAAGCCCGATTTCTACGAGTTTTAAAAAAATCGAGAATACCAGTTAAAAGTTGTAAATGCTGTTATTTTTCAGGCATTTATTTTTCGATGTTTTGTGTTTTTTTAAAACCGATTTAGTTAAAAATTTTACAGAGTCTTGTTCAAAGACATTAGTACGAACTGAGATCATCCCTAAAGTCCGATTTCTACGATTTTTAAATAATTCGAAAATACCAATAAAAATTTGTAATTGCTGTTGTTCATGTGACTTTACCGCGGTCACGTGACCACACCTCTGATTTTATGTCTCCAATTAATTAAAAGATAGAAATGATAAAAAAGAAAAAAAGGATTATTAATCTAGAATAATGGTATGAACTCCAGATAAGTTTAAAAAATCACAAAACATCGACTGCCTGAAAAACCACATCATTTACAATTTCTGGAGAACCTCTAATTCATCACCGGCTAGAATTAAAACTTTTTGGATGTTTTTCCTTTAATTTTCGATTTTTATTTTTGTATTGGTAAAAGATTAATTAATAACTTATAAAAAATAGATAGGACAAACATTGTTTGCCTAAAATGTTCTCTCAAAAATTTTAATAATTTTTAGAATTTTAGTACATTTTTCGTTCACGAATTTGAGGTATTTCCAACTCAGGTGCTTTTCGTAACAACCTTCGATAGCTCAGTTGGTAGAGCGGTGGACTGTAGAATGATAATTGCCGAAATCCATAGGTCGCTGGTTCAAATCCGGCTCGAAGGATAATATTTTTTTAAAAGAAATGAATGAAATCAAAAAATTATGCTGTTTATTTTTCGGATAATTTGATAATTAACTTAATTAAGGAGATTTTTTAATTAGTACTAAGTACTAGCCTCTATACGTACGCACAAACGTGGACGATTTTTTTGCGAAAACATGAATAAGTAGTATTATAATTATCATTAGAAAATGGATCACGTGATTAATGGGCGCCCCATAATTTGAATTCCCCCCCCCCCCCAAATTGTTCTTTTAAATCTGTGCAGCCCTTTTTGAGAAAATATCGACGAAAAGTCACATATACCTTTTCCAATTTTTGTGAACAGAATGACAGCAAATATAAAATTAGTAAATCAGATTATCTGGAGAAAACATCAACTCATCTTTCCAAAACATACATATACATATATTGTATATATGTATTAGGGTGGTCCTTAAAATGGTCATTTTCGAATTTCCTTGCTCCCAGGGTCTCAAACGGTTCCAAATTGATAAAAAACAATTCTCTGAAAGTTTTAGCTCTTAATATTAACGTTTAGATAGAGCGCAATTCAATCAAAGTTCTGTATGTAAATATCATGGAAAAATATTCAAAAATTTCAAAAATGTTTTTTAGATGTAATTTAGCGAACAAATGAATGAATAAAACTCATTCATTTGTCGCTGTTATACCTAAAACATTTGTTTTAAATTTTCTAAAATTTTTCCATGCTCTTTCCATACGAAGTTTGATTGAATTGCGCTCTATCTAAACGTTAATATTAAGAGCTAAAACTTTCAGAGAATTGTTTCTTATCAATTTGGAACCATTTGAGCCCTTGGAAGCAAGAAAATTCGAAAATGTCCATATTAAGGACCACCCTAATGTTTATATATAAGTATTTTTACAAAATTTAATCTATTTAAATTGCAAACAGCACGAGTTATTTCGAGCATGTTTTATTGGAAGATAATTTTATAGAGCACAGATAAAACCATTCGAATCCCCAAGGACTTCACTATAATGATAATTACTGAATATAAAATAATAAGCAAAACATTTTACAATTCAAATATTTACAATTCAAATATATATTATATATATATATATATATATATATATCTTAGAATTAGATGTTTTACTTGTTAAGTTTGATCGTAATTGATTCAATAATAGAATATAAAATAAATAATTAAAATTAGTCCTTTTAATCTATAAAACTTGAAACCCCAATTATATAATGTTTAGATTTCTCTATCTCTATATTTCAACTAAAATTGTTTTTTAACAAGACGTTTTAGATTTCAAGATGCTGACGCATCTATGTTATCACTTTTTTATGAATATCATTTAAACGAACATGAGCTTGATGATTGATTGCTTGTATTCATCAATTTAGATTCATTTAGGAAGTGTTGTTAAAGAATAACCAGTTAAAATTTGGATATTGTTAAAACACATGATACGGTTAAATCATGACGAGTAGAATGAATTTTTTCATGTGATAGGAAGTCGTATTAAAAAAATAATGGATCAATTTCAACTAATTCATTCATACCTATAGATACTCATAATCTTAAGATAATACATTCACGATTTGCATAATATATTTTTTCCCAAGAATAAATACTTGCATTCACCTTAAACAGAAATGACCGTTTCAACGAATAAATTCTTATACATTTAAATGCAATGCATAAGATTTGAAAACCTATACGTTATGTAAATTTATTATGAATTTATTCACTTAAATTCGGAATTCGATGAAGTGAAATCGTGAAAGATTAAAGAAAAATCATAAATTCTATTGATTAATGTGAATTGTATTCATACATATTTCGAATTCCCATGACCCTTAAACGTAATAATCATAAACATAAGCTAAAGCTATTTCTAAGTGCATAAGGTTCATAAATATTAATAAAAATAAATTTCGAAAAATGGCATGTAAATTAGAAGCTAAATGTTTTAATCAGTAACTTTCACATAGGTAAAACATATTCAAAAATGGAATGGTAAAATATCTTTTAATCATATTAAAAATATTTAAATTTTAGGATAATTTGAATTTTTACTTAATCAGAATGGCACTACAAATATTTTTTCGCCTAGTCATAATTTAAAAAAAATTATTATTATAATTAAATTGTTATTATATTGGAATACAAAATTTTTAATTCTATTTCAAAATTTAAATTACTTTTGATCCTACATATTTAATTAATCTGAAGAAGAATCTTCCGCATTCTATTCAGATATAAACTTTTAACAGCCGATATAAAATAAATTAACGACGGATTCCTTTCAACACTTAGAGGTGCCACTTAATCACAGTATTTCATGCGGAATAATTTATTGATTTGACCAATTATTTTAATGAGGCACGAGCTTGTTAATTTATACCATAAAATAAAAATAATTATATAAGAAATAAGGTTTTTCCTTCAGATTTACTCTTCTGGGATAGTCAGAAGGAATCACTTAAAACATCATGAAAATATGAAAAGTGAATTTATTAATTAAAATTATTTAAAGTTTAGAATTTTTTTCATTATTCATATCTAAAATAATTAAAATATACAATTATTAAAAATAGTCTTATAATTAAAAGACATTTAGTAATTAATCTGAGACTTAATAAAGGTATAATGTTTTTAGAGAACCACCCATTGGAACGTTTTGTAATTTATGAAAAATGTACTAAATTTGATGATATGGTTTAGAAAAATGGGTTGCGAAAATAGCCAAATTTTATTTCACGTTGTTATAACATAAAATCTTACACATTTCCGTAAATATTAGTCATAATATATGGTGCAAGTAAACGTACATAAAATTTGTATTAAGTAATAAACTATGAAAGCTACTAACTCCCTATAGTACATCAAGTTTATGGGTAACAAAAGTGAAATGTCTAAAATCGCTATTTGCAAAACATTTAAGGAATATTTAAACGTGTAATGTTAATTTGTATAAATTTCATGTTTTAATGAATTTGTGTTAATAATTTGAAAAATCCTCATCCCAACTTTATAATAATAATGATAAATTTTCTAATAATAAAGATTTTCTAGTGCATTCATATTTTTTCTGATCGATAAAAACTATCTAGGACATATGGGCACGACAGAAAATGCCACTCAATGGCATATACCTGTGACATAAAAAAGCGCGAAAGAAAATCTACTAAGTGATTGGATTCTTCAGGTCATTAATGAGTGCCTTGTGTTAATTTCCAACAACATTTCTTTAAACAAGAGTAAAAATAAACAGGACTAAATTAAAATGGATATCTACTGGCGTTATCACTTTGTGACCTTTGAGTGCCTAAATCTGCCTGGTAAATTTCTCTCAGAATTGGTGAAATGTCTATTCCAAGTGAGAGTTTAAAATCTTTCTACGCTTCCTCGATCCTAACGACGTTATTCCTTTCATCTATGTCGTTTTTGACCGGAACTATTTATATATTTAGATCAAGCCGTAAATAAACTAGTTGAAATAAATTGGTTTAGTGCACTGAACACTGAACACTGCTCGCAACACTGGCGTGTAATGTTTAATTCTTACATGATGTCATCTGGAGAGATTAATTCTCTAGAGCACCAACAAATAATTCATCAAATTCATTATTTATAAATTGGGATTAGTGGTAAAGCAATTAATTACAAGAACTAGAGCGTATTATAACGACCAAACATGCGGCCTGGAAAAGAACAGAAATAGACAAATGTGACCGATTCAAGTATAAGGCCGATGGTAATAATATGAAACTATGACAGAGACTATTTGGTTTTTTCTATAAACCAACATTATTAAAAGGCAACTCAGCGGTTGACCATTTTCTTCCTGATGAGATTATATTAGACATGTTTCTAACAGTGATTAGCTGCATATTTTGGTATATTCCAACTAAAAACTGATATCGCATCTAATATATAATAATATTCAGAACTAGTGGTGTATGGCATCGTGCCTTAAGGCTAATTGCTGGTTTTACAAATATATTATTTCAAATACTGTAACTTTCATTATTTCTGCTATATTGTTATATCTGCGCAAATCAAATGTAAATCATAAATCAAATTATCTCCAGAACATTAACAACAATCGTCATTTCATTTCGAATTCAATTAAAAAAAAAATAGTTGCCTAATTTACACAAAATTGAAAAAGGGCTCCCGTATCGTCACAGTCTAAACGCATTTGCAAATAATTCTGTGCGACATCTTCACTTATACTGTGCTTAGCTTGACGGTATTTTCACATTTTTCAATAGTTTTTCACAAAATTGGAAAAATTCTTTAGTACATAACTTAAACTTATAACTTAGACTGTGCTTAGCCTAGGTAATTTTTTGAATTTTTAATCCAAAATTACAAAAAATTAAAAAAATAAATTATAAACAAATTTTTGTTTCCGAAAGCAATTATTTTGTTGAAACAAGCAGAAAGTTCTTTGAACCATTTAAATCGGACGCTTAGTTCTCTCAAAAACTGCCATTTTTTACACATTTAGCTCCGTATCTTCAAAATGGTTGGGCCTGCCTTTGCCAAAAACTAATAACCACTTTTCTCCGTCATTACGAACTGAATGTTTTTTGAATCATACAAATCGGATGATCGAATTCAAAAACTCGATTTCTATTTTCTGCACTTTTTGCTCCATATCTTCGTAACGGCTGGACCTGCCTTTGCCAAAAACTAATCAGCACATCTCCCTATTAAGAGGAATCGAATGTTTTTTAAACCGTTCAAATCGGTTGATCCGTGCGGACATACAAAACACACACACACACATCCATTTTTTCTGAGGTATGCCAAAACGTTCAGAAACATTCAAAACGTCGAGAAATGCAAAAATTTTCATTTTCGATTTTTGGCCCATTACTATAATTAGCCTACGGGAAGTTAATTAATATTTGCACAAAACTTGAGAGAAATACAAAATGGCATTTAAATTCAAGAAATATACAAAATCGTCGACTATCATGTGCTTCACTATCATATTCATCATATATTTATAACGTGAATATAATTATTGTATATAAATGTAAATAATTTACTGTAAATATTTACGATAGCTCTTAATGAACGTCATAAACCAAACAAATAATAATAAACAAAGAACGGAGGTAGCTATAAGGAAGACCATCTGCTTTTCACAAATTTCAACGCAATAGGTTTATTTTCACATTTGCTAGACAAATCTCTAACCGCGAAAGTTAACTTAGGAAAACAGAGATATAAATAAACATTTTCGCGTATTTTAAGTTATAACATCAAAATAATTCACAAGAGAAAAAGTTCTAGCCCTAAATATTGTTTCAATAATAGAAAAGTAATTTTCGTTTTTTTTTTTGCAATCTAAATTCTTTTTGATTGTTATTTATTTTGCTTGATCCTTTGATTATTAGTAGTATTTTTACAAATTCAATGACCGTCTATTTCCATACAATTATCATATGACTTCAAGAATTTTAATAGGCCATTAGCATGATCTCTTGTGTCAAGGGCTGACAGCAATCAACAGATTCTGCAATAAATGTTAAACGTGAAAGAATTATAAACTAATTATAAATCATTCAAGGCTTCGACTTACGATAATTAATGATTAATGAACCATTCATTTATATTATTTTGCACGATGTTTAAAACTAACCATCATCTGTCACACGCTTCCAAGATATGGGAACTCATACTTATAATGAATCATGATTGTAAAATGTAATTTAACTAGCTGTAAGTGGAATTCTGTCTTAAGGCAATTAAGGCATCGTGCCTTAAGGCAAATTGCTGGAACTTCCCGTACCAAAAATTATTATTTTTTTAAAAACAATTAACATTTTTGAAAAAAAATTACTTTGAAAGAATAAGATTTTTGAGAAACTATAAATTGGACAAAAAATAACTTTTCTTTGAAAAAAAAATTTTTTTTTTAAAAAAACATTTTTTTTTTTGAAAAAAATTTTTTTTTTTCTGTATTTTGACATATTGTAGAAGATCTGAAATTTTTTTGAAAGCAATCGTACTGCTTTAACTGCATAGGGACAAAATATAAAGCGCGTAAGCGCCGCGTCGCTGTCTAACGCATAAGCATTGGTACGGAACCCATAGAAATGTTAACAAAATGTATACTTATTGTTAAAATCTCTATAAAATATCTGATAATTTGATGTGCATATGTCTAATGATCATTTTTGACCGCCAAATGGCTCATTTTTTTACTTTTTCCTCCATATCTCCGAAACCGCTAGACCTACCTTCATGAAAATTTTATCGATTCTTCACCTTGTCAATACAAGTGAAATGTTTTTTGAATTATTCAAATCGGACGCTCCGTTCTCTTAAAAACTGAGTTACCGTTTTCGGCACTTTTTGCCCCGTATCTTCGGAACGGCTAGACCTGCCTTCGCCAAAAACTAATCAGCACGTCTCCTTATCAATACGAATCGAATGTTTTTTGAATTATTCAAATCGGTTGATCCGTGTTCCCGAAATCGTCGACGAAAATTTGTATCCGCACATACATACACACACGCACATACATACATACATACATACATACATACATACATACATACATACATACACACACACACACACACACACACACACATACATCCATTTTTTCTAAGGTATGCCAAAATGTTCAGAAACCTTTGAAACGTAAAGATATATAAAAATTTTCATTTTCGATTTTTTTGCGATTACTATAACTTGCCCTACGGGAAGTTAATAAAGACGAGAAATGTATTTCTTTGGTTAATTAATGTAAGATAATTTTGATTTTCAGAAATTTGAACAATGCTGTATTTTGATAATTGTTTGTCTGGTGGCTGCCTGCAGGGCAGTTCCTGCTGCAATTCCCGATCCGCTGCAGCAGGAAGTCACAGCCATGCGAGCCCTGGTTGCTTCAGTTACAGGTAAAAATATAAAATTTTAAATTTTCTTAATATTTTGTATGATAGCAATAATAATCTAAAAATGCAAGAGAAATTACGAATTTCCGTAACACTTTACAAAACCATTACCAATTACGAATTTCTGTAACACTTTACAAAACCATTACCATCGTTTCCTATAAATCGAGGTGTGTTTTATAGATCGACCATAATTTTCTTCGAGTATAAACAAGTTTATATGTTAAGTATAATAATGAAGGCATAAAATATATCACGACAAAATATCTAATATCACAAACGGGCACATAAATTCTTACTAACAACAACCGTCCATAATAATTTTCAAGATATAAAAGATATAGAGAGTTGTTGAGGCTGTATGCAATAAATAATTGTATGGTAAATATGAGGTGTCGAAGCTAAAGAATAAATCATATACACAGAGAACTAAACAGTATTCTTGAGTATATTTTGTCGGTATAAATATTTAAAAAATATCATTATTCGGGCAATTTTGGTATAAAAATGCATTTGTATAATTTAATATGATATGTAGATTTTAAAGTTAAGTTACTGAAATGAGTATATGTTTATTTATTTAAGTGTACAATCTTTGTATTTGATATTAGGCCAACTTGACAAGTTCAACAGCCTCTATTTGGGAAGCTTGGAACAGAAATTAATATCGACAGCCACTTTGTTAACGAATATAGACAGCAATGTAAAGCATTTACAGGTGATTTTTAAACAACCATTTTTAGATAATAATTAGAAAATTCGAAAATGCACTAAAATTTATAAAAAAACTTTGTAGGAACGAGCACATGTTTGGGACACTTTTCAGCTGCATGTATTAGCATGGAACGAACAAATCAAAACTGTAGACAAGAAAATGGATTTACTCAGCAGGTAAGTCAAGGTTAAATTTAAATGATATTTTATGTAATTAACAAGCATATTGAAAAAATGTATATATAGATGCATAGATGTATATGTAAAAAGTTGAACACACCAGCTAAACTATTAGTTGATGAAATTTATTCAAATATGAATTTTACCTGAATGTATTTTCTTTTAAAAAAAAGGTAAATATAAAAATGAAGGTCCCACCGAGACTTGAACTCGGATCGCAGGATTCAGAGTCCTGAGTGCTAACCATTACACCATGGGACCCCTTGCCGTCTAGTTCCGAGTAATTCAGAATATTCTATGTTTTGGTGATCGTGTTCTATTATTGAAACGAGGCGTCAAAAAGCCTATATGATAATGAATATATGTATATATGTACTTATAATTAACACTTTACACTTAACAGTTGTTATTTTAAAACATAATTAACGGCCTTTCATTTCATTTGAGCAATGCCATATGAGAAACAAAATTTTATAAAGATGCTCATGTTTTCTTAACACATTGAGCACCTTAAATATAACACGGTTTTAATAAGTCGTCAAAATAAATTTTAACTTCCTGTAGGGTATGTTATAGTGATCGCATCATCGTATTTATTTTTACGTTCCAAAACCTTCTAAACATTTTGACATACCTTGAAAAAAACGATTTATGTTTGTGCAATTTCAAAAACACGGATCAACCGATTTAAATGATTTAAAAAACATTCGATTCCTATTGATGGGGAGACGTGCTGACTGGTTTATGGCCGAGGTAGGTCTAATCGTTTCGAAAAAAGGAGAAATTGTGCCAAAGTGGTAAATCAGTTTTTGAGAAAACGGAGCATCCAATGTAAATGATTCAAAAATGAAATTAAATAAAGAACTGATTAAATTTTGAGAAAGGCATGTCAGCGGTTTTGGAAATCCAATAAATATATTTAAAAAAATGCCATTGTCATGTCATGTCAAAAATGATCATAAGACAAATGCAGATCAAATTATCAAACTATTTTAATAAAAAGAAGTATTTTTAATTACATTTCTATGGGTTCCGTACCAAGATTTATATAATATTTAACCGTTAGACAACGAAAAAAAAATCAAAATAAGAAAGTCATTTTCAGAAGTCATTTTTAACTTTCCGTAGGGCAAGTTATAGTAATCGCAAAAAAATCGAAAATGAAAATTTTTATATATCTTTACGTTTCAGAGGTTTCTGAACATTTTGGCATACCTTAGAAAAAATGGATGTATGTGTGTGTGTGTGTGCGGATACAAATTTTCGTCGACGATTTCGGAAACACCGATCAACCGATTTGAATAATTCAAAAAACATTCGATTCGTATTGATAAGGAGACGTGCTGATTAGTTTTTGGCGAAGGCAGGTCTAGCCGTTCCGAAAATACGGGGCAAAAAGTGCCAAAAACGGTAACTCAGTTTTTAAGAGAACGGAGCGTCCGATTTGAATAATTCAAAAAACATTTTATTTGTATTAACAAGATGAAGAATTGATCAAATTTTCATGAAGGCAGGTCTAGCGGTTTGGGAGATCTAGTAAAAAAAGTAAAAAAAAAATGCCATTTGGCGGTGAAAATTGATCATTAGTCATATGCACATCAAATTATCAGATATTTTATAGAGATTTTAACAATAAGTATGAATTTTGTTTACATTCCTACGGGTTCCGTACCAATGTTCACCCGTTAGATGGCGACGCGGCGCTTACGCGCTTTGACAGTTCGTCTCTATGCAGTTAAAGCAGTACGATTGCTTTGAAAAAAAGTTCAGAATTTCCAAAATATGTCAAAATAAAGAAAACATCTTTTATAAAAAAAAAAAATTTTTTTCGAAAAAAAGTAATTTTTTGTCATATTTATGATTTTGTCAAAAATGCTAGTCTTTTTAAAAAAAAATAATAATTTTTTGATACGGGAAGTTCCAGCAATTTGCCTTAAGGCACGATGCCATACACCCCACTAGTTTTTCATAATTTCAAAATTCCCAAAATTCTAATTTTTCCAATGTTTTCAAAAATTACGGTACAGAAGTTCCCGTAATAATAATAACCACTACTTAATGTAAAAATAAAAAGCAATATGTGCATTATATGAAGGCATGACGGTATCTTTTCAAGTACGAATAAATACTTGTGTCCTCTAACGTCGGACCAGGTACTACGGTTGCGCCTAAGCACGTACACACCGCACATACAATATAAAATCAATAACAAAAAACTTTAATTCCTCATAACTCAATCAAAACACCTAGTTAACCAAAAATAAATCCTTCACCACGTATTTCTTTAAAACAAAATTAAATTAAAAAAACAAAAAAAGATTTCGGTCTATCTATATCGATCGGGCTGAAACTGGGCGCACACTCCCGGACGCGATCCCACTACTGCTCGCCACGGGGGCTCTTGGCTGCTGAGTGTCCCCTCTGGCCCGGTTCGCCCCTCCTTAGACAACCTGAACGTCCCGGGCTCCCCCGGCACGCCCATGTTGATGGCGAGCTTAGTGCGGACGTCCAGTCAACATGCGCCTCCCAGACCCAGGACTCCCGACCTCAAGACATCCGCGAAATCTGACCTCCGAGTAGCCGGATTACAAGAGACGCCACGCTCCCAGTCGAGGATAGTAGAAGTTTTCGGTCTTATATAACGATCATCGCGTTTTAGGATAGGATAATAGAACTTTTCGGTCTTATATAGCGATCATCGCGTTTTAGGATTTTGTATAAATATACAGTTATTACATTATTATTTTATAATATACATATTGATGATATATAGATTTGTTTGTTTTTTAAAAGTTTAGAAACATTTTGATAAATTGGTAATATTGATTTTTTTTCAATTTTTAATTATTTTAGACTTCATTATTTAGACTAACGATTTAAATAGTTATTAAAAACTAGTGGGGTGTATGGCATCGTGCCTTAAGGCAAATTGCTGGAACTTCCCGTACCGTAACGAAATGTTCGAGGAATACTGAATGTTTTCAAATAGATTATTATTAATATTTTAACATTGTCTAATATTTATAAGAATTATATAAACTGAATTGCAAAGTTGAAATTATTTGTTTAAAGTATATTAGAACTATAGTCAGAATTAAAAATAAAATTTGAATTATTTTCGATGTACAAAAAAAATTTTTTTTTTTGAAAAAAAAATAGTTGAAACAATTTTTTTTCCAAAATAAATTATTTTGTTAAGACAAGCAGAAAGTTCTTTGAATCATTTAAATCGGACGCTTGGTTCTCTCAAAAACTGCCATTTTTTGCACATTTAGCTCCGTATTCGAAATGGCTGGGCCTGCCTTTGCCAAAAAGTAATAAACACTTTTCCAAATCATTACTATTTGAATGATCTAGAAATCATTGCTCGAATGCTCCGTTCACTCAAAAACTCGTTTTCTATTTTCTGCACTCTTTGTTCTTCATCTCCGTAACGGCTGGACCTGCTTTCGCCAAAAACTAATCAGCTCATCTCCCTATCAATAGGAATCGAATGTTTTTTGAACCATTCAAATCGGTTGATCCGTGCGCCCGAAAACGTGACTGGAAATTTGTATCCATACATACATACACACATACATCCATTTTTTTGAGGTATGCCAAAATGTTCAGAAACCTCCAAAACGTCGAGAAATGTAAAAATTTTCAATTTCGATTTTCGGCCAATTAAAATAACTTACACTATGGGAAGTTAATAAATTTTATAAAATATTCAACATTTGACTTATGTTTTTAATAAAATTATTATTTATTATTATTTATTTTCAGGGAACAAGAAAAATTATTAGACATAGATAATAAATTAACGACGCTACTAGGTTTGGAATATAAAGTTCAGCGTGTGATGGAAAAATTAGAAACCTTTGACAGTAAATTTTTGGAACTATTTGAGAAAATCGAAAACACTGAAAATTCTCCGACGCAAACACAAAACACCCAAAAAGATACTATTTGGAATGAGTTCGCTGGTATCGGAGTCCTTAGTACACTCAAAAATATAGAAAATAAAGTTGATAAACTACAGGTTAGTATAAATAACACATATTTATTACCCGTAAAAATATATATCAAAGTGTGTATTTATATTTTATAGCAAGTGCCCACAAAATCGTACAAACGCAATGCTGGCAGAAAAGCAGCAGACAATGAGGATTCGGCAGATCCACGAGGTAAATTCGTAATAAGATGCAGCACACCGCCCCAGATCGAGGAAACGATATACGAAATATCCGCGAAAGTTAACGCTTTGCATGATAAGTCTTGCGGCGGTAAATTGCCTTACCGCCGCGGAAGACACCACGGTACCGAAGACGATGGGGACGAGCTGATTCAAACAGGCCGAGACACGTAAGAAAATAATACTTATAATAAGTATAAATGTCAATTTATATATTATAACGCATTAGATAATTTTTGCGAGCTCAGACAGAGCAAACCTTATATATAAAAATGGATCGCTAAATGTGCTGATAAGCGCATAACTCAACAACGCCTGGACCAATTTGGCAAATTCTTTTATTAAAATGTTCGTTGAAGTCCAAGGATGGTTTTTACGGCGAAAAAAATCGAATTGCCGGCAAAACCCTAAAAACACCCCTTTTGTTTTTCTCATATTAACGTTTTCTAACTAAAACGTAGAATCAATTTGATTTTTATTGCTATTATATAAAGTTAATATTAAATTACAAGCATTCATTGTATACTCCTTCTAAACAATTATTCGGATTTTGATAAATCTTCCTGAAGTTTGTTAAGTAAATTTTATAGGATGTATGTGATTATAGGGTATTGGGATGTATGTGCAAAATATTATAGAAATAAATGCAAAAAACGACATGTCATTGTTTGCATTGAAAATAAATGAAAACTATCATCTGCCAAAATTTCAATTTACTTATGAACCTAGACAATATTAGAATATGTATAATAAATCTATGATTATGAATAAGAAAAATGAAATGTCCACATTATTATTGCCAAAAAGCAGCCGAGATGTGCCAGAAATTAAAATAATATAAGATACAGTATATGTATGGCAGATTGAATGATACACATATGAACAAATATGACAAATTAATTCACTTAAAATATGAAATTAAGTATTAATCAAGGCCGGTCCTGCCTTTAATGCGATGCATGCGAAAAATACGAGTGCACGCCTTAGGGAGCGCCAACACAAGATTCGGATATTAAATTTTCAATACAGTTTTTTTTTCAATATATAATTTCTTTGCATCTTTTACTAATCTTTCCACAATCTTTTAAAAAAACGTAAAAAATTCACTTTATAACAACAAATCGGCCCTTACGATATCGATTAGGAGAAGTTTAAGATGCAATTTTGGATATCTCAAATAATAAAAAATTAAATTAATTTAATCCAACATGAAGTACTAGTGTTATGTTATGGTTATGGTTATGTTATACCGTTTAAAAGACTTCAAATTCCATAATATTATGAGAGTTGAGACTCATCATTTTATAAAGCAGTTCTATATCTAACATCGCTCATATTATAAATGTATATGTATTTTGGCTTAAAGAGTAATTTAAAAAACAATAATTATTATTTTTAGGAAAACGGTAAATAATAAATAACGGAAATTGTAGACATAGGTACAGAACAACGTCTGTCGGGTCATCTAGTATATTACAAAGCATTAGACAAATTTTGTGAGTTCAGTATACTTTCGATAAGACATTGCTAAATTGTCATTGTCTTCTATCTTTGTGTTTTCAAATTTTGCATAAAATTAAATAATTTAAAAATATTTGGCTATGCCTCCTGTGAGGATTGAACTCACGACCCCTGGTTTACAAGACCAGTGCTCTGCCACTGAGCTAAAGAGGCAGTTGATACATAAATTCTTCGTACAATTATCATCGTAAGTATTTACTTTATCGCACATCACATCACCGAAAAGATAACACAACGCTTCATGGCCCGTACAGGACAACCGGCCGAAACTTACCGTCGCCTACACTCAGAGCCTCTTTAGCTCAGTGGCAGAGCACTGGTCTTGTAAACCAGGGGTCGTGAGTTCAAACCTCACAGGAGGCATACATTTTTCATTACTAGCTAAAAAGTAATTTTTTACATTTATTAAAATTGAAGGTGCTAGTGCGAAAATAGTGAACCTTCCAATAAATTTATGCAAATATGATTTTTTTCTGAAAATTTTTTTGGGGGAATGAGTGAGTAAAATGAAGGTCCCACCGAGACTTGAACTCGGATCGCAGGATTCAGAGTCCTGAGTGCTAACCATTACACCATGAGACCACCTGCGAAGCAATTTTGACTAATTGAGAAAATCCTTTTTGTGATCATGTTAGTATCACAAAAAGAATAAAAACATCTTAATCACGAAACCTTTTTAAGAATATTTTTTATAGAATTTTATAGAAGTGGTCGCAAATTGCCCTTTTGTGTTAATAAGCTCACTATTAAATTCCCGTAGGGTAAGTTATTGTAATCGTCCAAAAATCGAAATTAAAAATTTTTGCATTTCTCGACGTTTTAAAGGTTTCTGAACATTTTGGCATACCTCAGAAAAAATGGATGTGTGTGTGTGTATGTATGTATGGATACAATTTTCCAGTCACGTTTTCGGGCGCACGGATCAACCGATTTGAATGGTTCAAAAAACATTCGATTCCTATTGATAGGGAGATGAGCTGATTAGTTTTTGGCAAAGGCAGGTTCAGCAGTTACGGAGATAAAGAGCAAAGAGTGCAGAAAATAAAAATCGAGTTTTTGAGAGAACGGAACATCCGATTTGAATGATTTAAAAAACATTCAATTTGTAATGATCGGGAGAAGAGATGATTAGTTTTTGGCTAAGGCAGGCCCAGACTTTTCGAAGACACAGAGCTAAATGTGCAAAAAATGGCAGTTTTTGAGAGAACTAAGCGTCCGATTTAAATGATTCAAAGAACTTTCTGCTTGTCTGAACAAAATAATTCATTTTGGAACATAAAATTTTTTTGTTTTTGTATATCGAAAATAATTTAGATTTTAATTTTAATTCTGGATAAAGTTCTAATATACTTTAAACAAATAATTTCAACTTTGCTATTCAGTTTATATAATTCTTATAAATATTAGACAATGTTACAACATTTATAATAATCTATCTGAAAACATTTAATATTCCTCGAACATTTCGTTACGGTACGGAAAGTTCCAGCAATTTGCCTTAAGGCACGATGCCATAGAGTATTTGATAACTGCTCTTCGGCTTATAAAATAACAATAATTGACGTAATTTGTTTCATTTAGAAATTCTTATCATTCATAAGATAATTAAATGTTTCTCTACATAGAGTCGTTAGCAGATAAAAATATTACTGCTGGCAAAATGTCACATTTCTTGGCGTTATTATCTATACAGATACTATAATCAATTATTAGCGTTATTATTATACAATACTATAATCTACAGGAATTAATTCAACTTTTTTTGGAATAGGATTTGAAAATCTATAAACGTGATTATATCAAAAACCTAGGATTCTATGGAGGTGCATTTTCCTAAAAATTTGTTTTCCAGAGCCTCTTTAGCTCAGTGGTAGAGCACTGGTCTCGTAAACCAGGGGTCATGAGTTCAATCCTCATAGGAGGCATAATATAATATTTTAAACTATTTATTTTTATATAGAATTTGAAAATGCTTAGCCACTGTCTGAGATAAAGAGACGTGCTTTATAATGAATTACCGAAAGTAAACTGGGCTTACAAAATACATTACAAAACTATTATGCCGTTGAGAATTATTGTAATGCTAGAACAAGTCATAAACACAAAATTTAAATATTCATTCATACAACAAAGACTATTAATTAAATTAAACGCATTAAATTTAAAGCATTTTTACTGTTATAATTAATCATAAAATGTGACTGGAAGTCAAACAACTGAAATATTCTGCTTAAAGTTCTAAATTGCAAAATGCAGGATAACTACCCCTTTGTATAAGTTCACATGCTAGAGCAAAATATCGTAACTTTTCCATTAATTTTTATAACAATTTTAAAAGTACAATAGACAAATTTTAAGCATTCCACTTATATCAGAATTTCTTACATTATATTATATTTTATAAGTATCAAAATTTTTATTTCATCCATGCAAGTTTGCAAAACGCAGTCAACCACAGTGAATTTTATTTCAGCGTCGTACGTGGCCTCTTTAGCTCAGTGGTAGAGCACTGGTCTCGTAAACCAGGGGTCGTGAGTTCAAACCTCACAGGAGGCATTAAGATTTTTGTTAAAAAAAATTATAAACATATTGAAAATTATTAATTATTATTCATAAAAAAATTTGATTTTTTATTTGTTACCCAAATGGTATTCTGTTTGAAAAACATTTTGCAAATGTATAGATAATAGAGATGAATGCCAAATATAAAATTTTGGGATTGAATAAAAATAAAAAATAAGGGGGAGGGGGGGGGGTACATCAATTATGTGATCGATTTTTAAGGATTTGAGACGCCTCCCTTCCCCTTAGTGTTACGTAGTAATATTTAAAATTACCTCCCGGCCCCTGCCCAACATTACGTGTATTTTTAGTACCTAGAAAAATCGTTACATCTTTGGATTTTTTTTGAAAAAAATTGTTTTTTTTTAATTTAGGCAAAAAATACATACACGTGATATTTTACTAGACCACCTCCCTCTCCCTCCCTTTATGTGATCTTTCGTAATTTTTCATCAAATTCCTCCCCATTTTTAAGCCTGGTGTGGTTCATGAATGGCTCCTAATATTGTTATGAATAAAAATATAAAACTTGGATTCCACTTGTTTGAATAATTGAATTTTCACGAAATGAGCTTTAATTATCATTTATTTCACTTTTACAGAACTTGGCGTCGTTTAACACAACCAGTACGAGATAGTTGTTTATCGGAAGAAGATACAAGTTTACTCAGACTTGTTGCAGATACTACACAAGTAATTGACTTTTCAATAAGAAATACTTTAACCAGTTAAATTACTTATATTTATTTTATAATTAGGAATTATTAGACAGCGGTGTACAGCGCGAAACTCTGTCGTGTTGCAAACGAACCGAACAGGAAATGCAAACTTTTACGGGAAGTGCGGATATATTACTAAAGCGCGTAGAAAGGGTCGCGGTGGGTCTAGAAAGCCGCGAGTCTAGACGGGAAGATGCCAGCGAAGCCAGGTTCAGAGAGCAGAGGGAATATTTTGAGAAATTGCTTAAAAATTATACAAACAAATCATCTAGGTAAGAAGGAAATTATAAACTAGCTGTAAGTGGAATTCTGTCTTAAGGCAATTAGGGCATTGTGCCTTAAGGCAAATCGCTGGAACTTTCCGTACCGCAATTCAAAATTCGAGTAATTAAAAATAATCAATAATAATAATCAATAAAAGTTGATCAATGATTTGAAACTTTTAATAGAATTTCGAAACATATTAAATAATTCTATCTTAAATTTTTTTCTTAAAATATTTTGGAAATTCTGAACTTTTTTTTAAAGCAATCGTACTGCTTTAACTGCATAAAGTCAAAATATCAAAGCGCGTAAGCGCCGCATCGCCATCTAACGCGTAAATATTGGTACGGAACCCATAGGAATATAAACAAAATTCATACTTATTGTTAACATCTCTATAAAATATCTGATAATTTGATGTGTATATGTCTAATGTTCATTTTTGACCGCCAAATGGCTCATTTTTTTACTTTTTCCTCCATATCTCCAAAGTCGAGGGACCAGCCTTTCCAAAAATTTGAACAGTTCTTCATTTAGTCAATACAAATAAAATGTTTTTTGAATTATTCAAATCAGACGCTCCATTCTCTTAAAAACTGAGTTACCGTTTTCGGCACTTTTTGCCCCGTATCTTCGGAACGGCTAGACCTACCTCCGCCAAAAACTAATCAGCACGTCTCCTTATCAATACAAATCGAATGTTTTTTGAATTATTCAAATCCTTTGATCCGTGTTCCCGAAATCGTCGACAAAAATTTGTATCCGAACATACATACACACATGCACATACACACACACATACATACATCCATTTTTTCTAAGGTATGCCAAAATGTTCAGTAACCTTTGAAACGTAAAGATATATAAAAAATTTTATTTTCGATTTTTTTGCGATTACTATAACTTGCCCTACGGGAAGTTAATAACATTGAATAAATAAAAATTATCGTTTTGTAAATTTTAGCCCGTTGCCGCCAAAGGTCCACCAAAAACACTACGACGAAAATTCCAAAGACGGAAGCGGACAATCTGGTTTTGGATTACAGGTAGGTGCATAAAGTCTAAATTTATTGTATAAAATCAAACTATTATTACTATTTGGTCAGGATGACACTGAAGAAGGAGATGCCACAGAAGAGGACGTAGACGATGACATTCGAATTATTGAAGTCGAACCGACAACCAGCACCACCAGCACGACGATTGTTGAAATAACACCCGCGACAACTCCAAGAACAGAATCTGTGACATATAGTACAACGGAAACACCAGTTACATACATTTCACCAACAATGCCGACTACGACGTTTTTGCCAAAAACAACAACTCGGATGCCTACACAAACTACCACAGAAGCAATGATTTTTGTCAACTCAACAGAAAGTGATCATACCACAATGGTAACTACGACGACAACTGATCATGAAACAATGCAGGTAAATTGTTGAATAAATCCAGGCATGACTGGAATGCGCTTGTAATGTACTTATAGATTTTTTATTACTTTCTGCAATGCTCTTTTTGTAACTCCATATTCCAGAATTTTGGAATATAATGTAGTAATAAGAGTGACTTGTGCTACTAATAATTCGTACTAGGGAATGAAATACCGGTATACCGGTATACCAAATTACCGGTAAACCGCCCCATCGGCGGTATTTTTACTGGTATTTACCCCAAAAATACCGGTATTTTCGGTATTTTTACATAAGCGCTATTTGATACATAATACACTAAAGTTTAAATTTCTCGGAACAATCTTTAAATTTCACAATCGCATAAACAGCTATATCTTCAAGTGATTCTATAGGATAAACAAATGCCAAAAATTATCTCACATTGTCATTAAACTGAATATTTATTTCTTTACTAAGGGCTTCATATCGTGTTACAATAAATAGAATTGGACTGATAGATAATGATCTTATGTAAAAATGTAACAGTTTTTTAAGTAATATTTGCGCCAAAATATTTTATATCATACAAATTACCCCTGCGTAATCTTTATTTTTTTCTAACTTTATACATAATAATTATGATAATTACTAAATATTTTTGCTTCTTATTACAATTATAAAATATTATTTTTCGAAAACGTTTCGAAGTTTGTTTTAAATGACAATACTCAAAAGTTATAGTAACTTATTATTTATCTCGAGATACTTATTATTAAATTAGTGTAGAAAAATTATTTTTTTTAAATATCGGAGATTATGCTAATTTAACACATCGGATACAGACAATACAGTTTATTATAATAATGTCTTCTTACTCTTAAGTTTGTTTTTGGTGAAAAGTACACAATATACTCAGTAGTGATAATGAATTAATTAAATTGGATATAATTTTTTTAAATTATTATTTTAAAAAATACATTTATCGTTTTATTTTATTGATTTTATTGTTTAGTTGAATATAGTTATATAGTTGTATATACATTCTTTTATATTTGTACTAGTAACTGTCAATTTTGTTTACGTTTAAGATAATAAAAATACCGGATACTTTACCAGTATTCCGGTTTTAAAATAAAAAATTACCGAAATACCAGTATTGAAATTTTCCATCGGTATTACATTCTCTAATTCGTACCTATGTAATATATAAAAAATATAATCAACTAAAAATTTTATATTCCTTGTTCTTGTGTGAATTTATTGGCAGCCTATAAGAGTGTTGAAAACAAAATATGTCTGAAATTTCACAGCAAGTATTTTACATTCAACGCACATGATGAGTATACATGCATAGAATATAATGAATTCACTTGAAAATTTTTCTGTCACAATCCGTGGCATTCAAAATGTTTTCAGGTACCATTTAAAAGATGTGAAGAACTCGAAGATTCCTACAAAGAAGGCGTTTACATATTAGGCTACCGGCGCGATTACAATGACGCCGGACGCGACTTTTACACACGTTACTGTCGACCAGGGCCTGATGACCAGACGGCCTGGACAGTCATCCAAAGCCGAGGTCATAGTGCAGGCGATAGATTAGACTTTAACCGAGACTGGCAAGAATACAAAAACGGGTTTGGATTGATCAATGAAGACTTCTGGATGGGAAATGAATATATACACCGTCTTACTAACGAACAGGAAGTTACTTTGAGAATTGAATTAGACGATTTTGAAGGTGTGTTGGGGATAATGAATAAAATAATGATTTAAAAAAAATCAGTTGTTGATGAATTTCATAGTGGAGATATCTTGAGTGTATCAATATATGGATACAATTTTGTATATGCACGAGCATGAGTTATTGCATCAATTAAACTATATGTAATTTTCTTGTAAAATATTTTCTCGTCTCACTAATTTCTTTTCTAAGTATTAATGCTTATTATTTGCTTACAATAAGTTATTATTGTAAAAATTACATTATTCCATGTATTGTAAATAGCTTGATATTATTAATTATACACGGTTTATATAATTTTAACAAAACATTTATGCCACATGTAATGTCAAAGTTACTAATAGTAAGAAAACAAAACTTTACTCAATCACAATTTTCCTTCAGTTGGAGTTCTCCAAATAAATACAAAATGTGAAACTCGTTTATATTTAAATATATACATTTTAAACATATTTTTTAATAGTCACTTTATATAAAATAGTTATGATTCCACAAGACATGCTCAAAATTAGCTACACATTTTTTACGGATATCTCAGCAATGCATACAAAAAACAACTGCTTGATTTTTTCGCGTACTTAAGGGGATATTCTTGTCTTGAGGCGTAAGTCATTAATTAATGTATTTATAATACAAAAAAAAATTAAAAGCGGTCAAATAGTAATACTAGCAAGCAATGAATTGGGATGTTTCAAATCTAGAATAATGTATTTGTATGAACTACGGATATGCCATTTTGTTTCAGAAAATAGCGACTGTTAAAAATAGTAAAAAAAACTTTTAGTAGTTCATACTGAAAATAGGTTTATAAAAAACTTTTTGTTTTTATATGTTTGTAATAATTTCAAGTAAAACGATCCGGTAGAAATGGAGAAATCGTGGGTATCGTATCGAAAAGCAGTCCCTTTCGGGAAAACGCTTTTAAGGAGCACAACTAGTGTGAAATTTTCAAAAAATCGAATTTTCAATTTTTCCATATTTCGATAGGTTATACCTTTAAAAATAATATACCGAAATTTTAAATCGTTATCTTAAATAGTTTTTGAGTCACAGCCATTTGAAGAGTATATATATAGTATAGTATATCGATCATTTAATCTTTAAACTCGTTTTTCTCGAAACAGCATTTTCCGAATTTGCTGCAGCGATTACTCAAAAACAAATGATCCGATCACAATCAGATTTTTTTAGCTCTATATAAAGTTCTCTGTAAAATGAACTATCGATGTTGATCGGACCAAAAATCGAATTTTGGCAGTCCAAAAACGACCAAAATTTTGGGTAAAATTCGACTTTTTTTTCAAAAAACGCCGTCATTTTGTCAATTTTTGATTTTTTTTCTTTATCGCAGTTCATTTTACATACAATATTAGCTAGTTTAACGAGATTTTTTTTTTAAATTTCATCCACGTAGAAGGCCGGAATCACTATAGCAGTGAAGGGCCTTTTTTTTGTCGCGCCGTTGGAGATCGATAACTTAAAAAATATTTAATTTTTTTCTTTAAAATTTTTACTATGTATTCTTAAAACATGTATAAATATATTCCTAAAATTTTGAAATGATTGATAAAGTAGTTTATTTAATATAAATTCTTAAAAATCACCTTTTTTAGGCGGTTACACTAGTTGTGCCCCTAAAAACTAAGGAGATTTACCGTATTCTAACAGTTATATCTCCAAAAATAATATAAATTATGAAAAATAATCTTCACACATATTCATGAATAGGAAAACTTATAAACATAGGAAAATATATAAAACAATCGATTCTTAAAACTTTTAGACTAGAATACCCCCTTAAATTCAAACACGTATCCAATTTGTTAGTCGTACAATGTTATAAAAATATTAATTTCCCCTTAACCAGGACATCGCGCGTGGGCCGAGTATTCGCGTTTCCGCGTTGCAGGCGAGAGAGACCAGTACGCCCTGCAGATTGGTGGCTACCGGGGCAACGCATCAGATTCGTTCGGCTCGCATCATGGAGCTCTGTTTAGCACGAAGGACCGCGACAACGACGAGGCGCCGCCCTGCTGTCCGTGCGCCGTATCGTACGGCGGCGGATGGTGGTTCAATAGGTGAGATGATAATAGAAACGAAGAATTTGATACAGGGTTATCACGTGTATGGACAGGACACGGGGTACACCGTGGTTTACAGATAAGTCTAGATTTAAGCTGCATGTTTAGGATAAGAAATGTTTTAGAATAAGTGATTATCTTATATATAAAAATGGAGCTCTCGATCAAATGATTCAGTAAAACGCGAAAATGCCTAAACCGATTTGGGCAATCTTAGTCTTGAAAAATTCGTGCCAATCCAGAGATGGTCGGAAAGGTGAGATAATATTTCAAAATCGCGTAAAAACTTTACATTTTTAATTTGAAAATTTTTGTAAAAGCGTAATTTAAATAAAACAATGAACGGTGGCTAATACGTGAAATGTCAAACGTTTTTGACAGATGATGTTCGATTATGTTTAATAGGATGTTTTACGTGAATATTATTTAATTATGATTAAATTGTAGTAAGTAGTTTGGTTTGTAGTTTTATTTATACACAAAAACTTTATTAAACGGATTGCAAGTGTTACTAGAAACTCAAAATATCAACTTTTTTGAAATATCAATATGAAAATGCACTTTTCGGCATATTTTTCTCAAATACGGTACTCGGAAAGATCTCATTTGTATAATTATATATTAATTGGTATTTATAAAACATTTTCTGGGTTATATTATTTTTTATTTATGTTATTTAAATTCAGAACCTAAATTTGGTATCGATCAAAGGGATATTTTGTCGAATAACATTTTCCCAGTTATAATTTCCCAGAATTTATCGAAGAATAGATGGTAATATATGAAGGTCCTGGGTTAAAAAGGTCCACCACCGATGTGTAAAAATCAGTAAAGTTAAGCATTGTTTAACAACAATATTTGAAAGTAGAAGGAAAAAAGATGTATAACCAGCTGTAACCTTGATTTGAAAACGGTAATCTTTGAAATGGGGGAGATAAACGGTAATCTTTGAAAATCCATAATAAAAGTATTTTCTTTCGTTGGTAGTTTTTTAGCATTAGTTAAAAATGTAATGATTTTGTAAAATACCTTTAAAATTATAATAAGGTTTTAAACCTGTTTCAAGTTACCCCGCCTATAGGGTAAAAAGGTCTAGATAACACATTTTTGAAAGACATCAAAAAACCACATTTCTACAATGATGAGGTAGAAGGCAGTTTTACTGAACGTAGTTCGTAAAAATTTTCGTTTGAAATGTGTTATTTGCTGTGATATAATTGGTTTGATTATTGTAATATAATTAATATTTTCTCAAAGTCAAATTGGACCTTTGTGTCTGGCCCTGCTCTACATTTATATACTTTTTATTAAATATACTTTAATTCATCAAATGTTACTTGAAACTTTTCAAAAAGCAAATTCATTTTCTATCTCTCCTCGCAAAAATTTGAAAATTTTGTATAAGCTCAGTAGTATTATTTACAATTATACACAAAATCCAGAATCCAAAAAGAATCTGAAAAACTTGAAATGTAATCAATAAGTCGAAAGACCAAACAAGACTTGGATGGATTATACTATGTTTTTTATAGAAAGTGTATGAAACTTCCAGTTTGATTGTATTGACAAAATATAGACAAACTAATGGGGTTTATAGTTTTTATAATATGAAGTATTATGTATATAGCATTCAAAGAACACATCCTTATGCACTTAAAGTATTAATATTTTAGATTCTCTAGAAATTGTTTAGCTAGTTATGTATAAATATAGGTTAGTCAATTAAGTCACGAACAAACGCCTTTTCATTAGCAGTATTTAAAGTAAGCGGTTTCTTATAGGGTCGCGACGTTTCGTTAAGGTTGTACAAAGACTGTGCATGTATAAACAATTAATAACAAATAAGAGTATGAACAATGGAATTTGTAACGACATGTTTTATTATTACAGTTGTTTCGAAGCGAACCTCAACGCGCCTTACTACAGCTCTCCGCACGAGAACGAATACTTCAGGGGCATCATCTGGGAAAACTGGTTAGGAGACTATTCCCTACGCGCCACTCGCATGATGGTACGAGGTAAAACCTTAAAACGACATGCTACCACATCGATATCGGAAGAAGAAAAAAAAACATCCGTACCTGAAGACTATGACATACCTGATGATCCATGAAATAAGGCCTTCCTGTTCGTTTCCAATAGTGCTGTTAGATTCTCTATAGTCCGATCTACTTTAATCCTAGTAGCGTTGTTTGTTTTCCTATTGAAGTGAATTCCATGTGCTTCATTGCTTTTATCAAGTAGTTGACAATTGTAGTCGCCTCCGGACAATTCTGTTGAGAAAAAATAAACCGCATTATATTGGTGGTTATTTTTCAATATTGTCTAAGGGGGCGTCCATAATCACGCGAGGTTTTTAAGGGGAGGGGGGGGGGTATTTGACAAAAAATCCCGAAATATCACGTGGGTGAGGAAGGAGTATAGTAAGATATCACGTGTAATTATCTTTTAACTATTTTTTTTAAAAAAGTTCAAACATTTAAAGAAAGATTTAAAAAATGACAGTTTTTTCACATAACTAAAAATACGTGATGTTTTGTGGGGGAGGGGGGGTTAATTTTGAATATCACCAAGAGGGGGGGTACAAAAATCCTTAAAAACTCGCTCACGTGATTAATGGACGCCCCCTAATAATGCCTTGAATTTGTATTTTACTCAGGGGGCGTCTATTATGATCACGTGATCGATTTTTTAGGGATTTTTAGACCCCCTCTCCATTGATACGTAGTTCAAAATTGCCTTTCCCACCAAAAATCACGAGTATTTTGGCTATCAAAAAAAAAATTGTAAAGGGGCCGTTCAAGTATTACGTAAGCACTATAGGAGGGCGGCGGGATTATTGATTTGCTTATTTTGCATATTTTGGGTAAGAACTTTTGCTTACTTTTGCTGACAAAGGGGACGGGGGACGGGGGGTAAATAATTGTAATAAATCTGCTTACGTAATACTTGAACGATCCCTAATGCCTTGAATTTGTATTTTACTCAGGGGGCGTCCATTATGATCACGTGATCGATTTTTTAAGGATTTTTAGACCGCTCTCTCGTGGTGATATTCAAAATTACCCTCCACCCTTCCCCACCAAACATCACGAGTATTTTTAGCTATCAAAAAAATTGTAAAATATTTGATTTAAAAAAAAAATCGATAAAATACACGTCATATCTTATATAAGCTATACTCCTTCCTCCCACGTAAAATTTCGTGATTTTTTGTCAACCCCCTGTCCCCCAAAAAAACCTCAAGTGATTAATGTACGCCCTCTCATTGATTTTATTCAACTTCGATTTTAATGATATTATTCTGTTTTGATTTAATTATAATGTGACCAAATCATGTGACGAAAATAAAAAAAAGTTGAAATAACATACATGGATATGCATGAAATAATTATTATTTTTATTTTTTTTTCAAATTTAATCCTGTGGGTTAGTGATAAAAATAATCCTATGAATTATTAATAATAATACTCGTCTACATCTACATGTTTTTAATATTATATTTTATAGTTGTTTCAAGATATCAAAATTTGTTTACTAATATTTAGACAAAATCGAATTAAAATTATGTTATTATGAAATTATTAAAATTGAATTATTATGAATTCGTAGCATATAAAATATTAAAATAATATACATATTAATAAATAAAATATCAAGTATTTATTGTTTGGTTTACAATTTTGTATATATTTTTATTTTAGATAGATATTACTATGCATTTATATTATGTTGTAGATATTTTATAATTTTAAAAATAATAGGTATAACATAAATCATTTACTATTTATTTTGTTAATAGATAAAATGATTTAATAAAATATACAAAAAAACAAGTATTTTTTATGACATTTGTCAACTTTATAGTTTAAGTAGGCCTTTGCAAATTACATATTGCAAATTCATATTTTGTTTTTGACCAGATAACAAATTTATAATATTTTTTTTCATAATGTTTCGATTACAATTATTGTTACTTTTTTTTGCAGTAAGTAGTTTTTATTTAGCCTTTGGTAGAGAATCTTTTGTGCCTGAATTATTTGATGAAGATGTTAATAGTATTCAAGACTATGTATATTTAGATGATAACACAAATGACAATGAAGAAGACGAGGATGAAGTGAGTAACTAATATACTAATATTAATAATATTAAACTAATAATTAATAAAACTGATTAAAAAATGTACTACTTATCCAAAATACTTGAACTTTTTTTAAGAAAACATTGGCAAATTAATATTATGTTTATAATACCTATTTGCAAAACGTTATATTGAAAGCGTATAAAAGTTATTCATAAGTTTGTTCAACTTTAGGAAATGGCATTAAATAGAACACAAACTAAGAAAAAATTGCCTCCATGCAACGAAGATAAACTTATGCAATATCTAGCTGAATTGCAAGCAATTAATCCAGAAAGTGTAGTCAATTTGGCAAGCACCACTGCTGATTTAGACCACTTGTGTAGGTAATAACAGGTCACAATAAAAATCATGAATAGAAATTTTTAATCTTCAAATCTTTAATATCTAATACATGTTTTATTTAGACGCGTTCGGGTGAGTATAGATAACATTGAATTTTATCTTCAAACTTGTGAACCACCTCAACAACAAGACTTGTATATGCAATTAATTCTTGGAGTTCGATCCTTGCATGGACAATTATGCGAAAATCCACCTTTTCGAAAAGGTAAGACACAAAGACAAAGGTCTAATTTGACTTTGGGCGATTATATTGTGAAAACCAAGCCAATTATTCCACATATCAAATGAACAACTATTTTAATATGATTAGTAAATCTCCCAGCCAATCATTATAGAAACGCGTTTTTTGTGTTTTTAACTTCCCGTAGGGTAAGTTATTGTAATGGGCATTCCTCAGAAAAAATGGATGTTTGTGTGTGTGTTTTGTATGTCCGCGTTTTCGGGCGCACGGATCAACCGATTTGAATGGCTTAAAAAACATTCAATTAGTAATGATTGGGAGAAGTGGTTATTAGTTTTTGGCAAAGGTAGGCCCAACGGTTTCGGAGATACAGAGCTAAATGTTAAAAAAATGGCAGTTTTTGAGAGAACTAAGCGTCCGATTTAAATGATTCAAAGAACTTTCTGCTTGTTTCAACAAAATAATCGCTTTTAGAAAAAAATTCTTGTTTCTATTTTTTTTTCAAAAAATATTTTTGTAATTTTGGATTAAAAATTCAAAAATTCATCCAGGCTAAGCGCAGTCTAAGCGTCACCCTGGTACAAATGCTTACCCAAGTGCGTTTAGACTATTTATGTTGGAGCACTTTTCCAATTTTGTGAAATTTGAAAAAGTGAAAATGCTGCCAAGCTAAGCACAGTATAGGTGAAAATGTCGCACAGAATTATTTGCAAAGTTTAGACTGTGACTATACGGGAGCACTTTTTCAATTTTGTGTAAATTAGGCAACTTTTTTTTTTGAAATTGAATTCGAAATAAAATGACGATTGTTAATAAATGATAGGAGATAAATTGATTTATGATTTACATTTGATTTGCTCAGATATAACAAGATGGTAAAAATAATGAAAGTTACAGTATTTGTAATAATGTATTTGAAAACGTTTAAAATTTCTCGAAAATTTCATTACGGTACGGGAAGTTTCAGCAATTTGCCTTAAGGCACGATGCCATACACCACTAGTTTTTAAATTTATCATTTGGCCCCATCGACGAGCTAAAATGGTACGACCAAGGTCCATTGTATTATTCTTAATTTTAAAGGAATTTTACGAAATATGTTTATACATTTTCTTCCCTCAACTTTCAAATATTATTGTTAAAAAATCCTTAACTTTATCTGTTTTATCCATTTATGATATTTTAGAAGCACTGATATATTTTAAAACAAATTAAGGAAGCGTCCATTAATCAACGTGATCGCTTTTTAAGGATTTTTGGACTCCTCCCTAATCTTTTGTGATACTTGGTGATATTTATTAGTATTTTTTTCTTTAAATTAACATGACTAATTTTTTTTTCAATCAACCTTTAAGAATTCGCAAAACATGCAATTTGCATCAAGCAACTGCATGACGAATTTGAAGAATGTGTAGGACCAGCTGATTGGACCGAAAGCTCCGATAATGGATATGTTTGCAGGTGAAAATTTGAATGCACATTTAAAATTCAAAATATTTGAGAAATATATTTTCAAATATTGTTTCAGTGCGTACAAAGACATTATAAACTGTTACTATGTGAAAACAGCGAAATTATGTGGACAGGTTGCTGCTGACGATATGCGAAAGCTGGTTTTGGCAATCGTAAATAGCGTAATTACGGTAAATTTCATCTGAATTACTTATTTTTTTAAATTTATAATTTACGTTTACTTCATGCCAAATGTCGTTATTTTCAGATTCAATGTGACGATTTAAATATTCCTGATGTAAAGGATGCTATGCCGGAAGAACTTGCAATGACATCATCATCATGGGTAATATAACTATGCAATTTACTTATGTACATATTTTTAATTGAAATTCATATTAAATATACTTTTTCAACAGGTGCCGAATGGTAATAAATATAAATTATTAACAACTATTTTAAATGCATTGTTGATATTATAAATTGTTATTTAAAAAGATAGTGAAATATAGAGTTAAATTATTTGGTTTTAGATAAACAACATTTTTTTAATAAATAAAATAGAAAAACTAGCTGTAAGATGCATTTTGTACACACAATCAACTTAAGAGGGAAGCCTGCTGTAGAGGCTTCAAATAATCGTTTTTTTTCAGGATTTTTTGGGAAGGAAATAAATATTTAATTAAAACGAAACTTTCAGGTTTATTGTTATATATTTCAACATTTTTCAAAAATTTCTTTTATTAAAATATATGTCATAATATGCCGGGTATAAGCATTTTGCAGGTGCGCCAAGAGTGTGCACCTAAAAAATCCAGAGTAAATAAGAAATTCATCAATTTTTCACAACGTGGGTTTATTATAACTTTTTTTAGATTTTTTTAGGTTCAACTGGAATAGAATTTAATCCTGAAAACAATAAACTTTGTCTCATTCGGATAAGACTTAGTTTTTTTCCTGGCAATCGAACTCATAAGATTCTGATTAGAATCGCATAAGTGCGCGGCGGAATTCCAAACGTTTTTGAATTTTTATAATATAACCACTTATCATAGGTCTATAAAATGTTTTTGTATTTTCAGAATAATAAATTTGTAGTCCTAGAAAGTTTTGGCAAAATCATTAAAAAAATGTTCGGGATAAATATTGCTTTTAGATAAACCCGAGACAGTCCTGGCCAAACCGGGAAGTATGGTCATCTTAGGGCTAATACCTGGACAAAAATATTTGTACTTTCTACTAACTATAAATTTAAAAATTTGGTAAACACTAGTCCTTATCGAATTACATTGAATATTTTTTAGAATTCTAAAATCGGTCCAGCCGTTTTTGAGAAAACATCGACGCAAGGTCAAAAATCCGCCGCTTTTTTGTAATTAACTGGCAAAAAAAAAATTTCGACGATTTTTATGAAATTTTTCTGGGAGAAATTTTCATGGTCTTCTGGAACATACTAAAATGTTACTGCTCTGCGACAAGTATTTTGATTTTAAAAATCCATCAAAGTTTGTAAAAATATGATAGCCAAAATTTCTGTTAAAAGTCGCTTTTGTGATGTGATAAGTTGAAATTTGAATTTTACAAATTTAAATTGCTTGCAATAAATTCGAAAAAGAGAAGCCTACGAAAATTGGTTGAATTATATAAATGGTTAAAATGTGGATGAATTTACTTACAGTTTTAAGACATACATATAAAAAAATTGGGATAATAAGCTGGAATTTTGGGACATATATAAACAGTTAACTTAAATGTGTTAGGAGATATCAATTGGATATCGCCAGTGGTGTTGTGCTGATATTTTTTTACCGGAACACTAAAATTAAAAAACCGTTTCTCATGTTTGTTCCGGTTCCGTTCAAAGAAAAAGAAAGAACAATCATTACAAAACCCATTTTGTACATATATATGTATGTTTATTAATAAAAATTAATAACTTAGTTAAATTATAAATTATAAAATTTACTTATCAAATCATTTTCTGTGTGTAGCGATTTTTATTTAAATATTTTTTTGCCGGAACGCGTTCCGGCTCAAAAATGATTTGCCGGAACGACGTTCCAGCTCGACAACACCACTAGATATGGCAATTATTAATTATTAATTTTATTATTAATAAAAATATTAATAATAAAGATTATTAATGTCATTTAATCAATTTTATTTTTGAAATAAATAGTTGAAAATTTTATTCGGTTGATTAAGTCAATTTTGACACATTTCAGGAAGTTCATGCAACTTGCCTAAAGGCAAAAAGCCACTTTCAACTAGTTAAAATAAAATTTATGGATAACATCTACTTACAGTTTATGGCTTTTAATGCATTCAAATATTCTTCTTAAATAATAACTGAGAACAATTCTTCTCAAATAATATTCCAAACAATAAACAAATATTTTATAAACATTCGTATTTACGCGTCCTTCCACTAAGCGCAACGTTCACATACTGATTAGGCTGAGTTGTTCAGTGTTCAGCGCATGCAGAATTAATAGAACATAACCTCAAAAAAACCCAACAAGCTCTATGAAACGTCTATTGTTTAATTTAACTAAACATTGTCAGCCTATAATTTGAAGAAAAATGAATTTGTTACCAAAAACCAATAAGGAATTTAAACAGCAAGACTATTGGAACACTTTCTTTAAGAAACGTGGAAAAAAGGCATTCGAATGGTAATACACTTTATAGTAACTATTTACATTTTAAGCTTTTATGTACTTGCTCTATAAAATTATTCATTATTAAGGTATGGCGAGTATCCAGAGCTTTGTGCAAATCTTCATAAATACATTAAACCGAAAGATGATATTCTTGTTATTGGCTGTGGAAATTCTACTCTGAGTACTGATTTGTATGATGTTGGTTATAGGTATATTAATTTTTATTATTTTTATAAATAACCATTGGCACGGTGGTATTAACATACCTATTACTTCCATTACTTCTACTATTATTTATTTCATTTTATTACTTGCTCGTCATATATTAAAGTTTCAATCAAAGCCTTCATACGGGTATGATATGTACATAATAATTGCATGAAACAAACTAAACTGCCAAGAGTTTTTGACAAATAGAGTATTCACATCTATTTCTTCTATAATTCATTCGCATACTATTATTATTTATTCATTTTCTTGGTGCTACGATAGTTTAGAAGATTTTGTAATAGCTCGGAATGTATTAAAGTTTTAATCAAAGCCTTTATAATATATATACATAATAATAAATTCTATAATTTTGATCTTTTCCATATGCAATCTCTGGCAAGAGGTTTTGAAAAATAGAGCAAATACATCTATTACTTCTACTAATTCATTTATATACTATTATTATTTATTCATTTTCTTAGTGCTACGATAGTTTATAAGATTTTGTAATAGCTCGGAATGTATTAGTAAAGTTTCAATCAAAGCCTTTATAATTTATGTACATATTAATAAACTCTTAAATTTTAATTACTTCCGCATGCAATCTTTGGCAAGAGTTTTTAAAAAATAGAGCAAATCTATTTCTTCTATAATTCATTCACATACTATTATTATTTATTCATTTTCTTGGTGCTACGATAGTTTGGAAGATTTTGTAAATTGCTCGGCATGTATTAAAGATTCAATCAAAGTCTTTATAATAAATGCACATAATAATAAACCTTATAATATTGATTATTTCCGTATGCAATCTCTGCCAAGAGTTCTTGAAAGATAGAGTAAACATATTATATTAATTCTATTCATTCATAAATATATCTATAACTTCTGTTCATTTATAATTTGTATTTAGTACAATTCTTATAAATTTATTTAATTGGGGCTAGAGTTGCTTTAAAGAATTAGTAAATTGCTTAGCATATATAAAAGTTTCGATACATAAAAATTGCTAAAGTAAGCTAAAAATAATCTTTTGTGACCCGGGATTCTGAATAAGCAGTTATATATTTTATATATATATATATATATATATATATGTGTGTGTGTGTGTGTAATTTTTTTACTATTTTTTACCTTGCAGGAAAATTACGAACATTGATATTTCCAAAGTAGTAATACGCCAAATGCAAGATATCAACAAAATAAAACGCCCAGAGCTAAAATACATACAAATGGACGCATTAAACATGACTTTTGACTCAGAATCATTCAGCGTTATCCTTGACAAAGGCACTTTAGATGCTTTAATGCCTGAAAATTCTCCAGAAACAATAGCTTGTATAGATAAATTATTCTCAGAGATCTCAAGGGTACTAAAAGTAGGAGGACGATACGTTTGTGTATCTTTACTGCAAGAGCATATTTTAAAAAAGCTCTTAGATTATTTTCCTCAGAACAATTGGATGTTTAGAGTTGTTAGATGTTTAGAAGCTGAGCAAAAAACTACTGAAAATAATGAGGGTGCATCATTGCCTGTTTTTGTAGTTGTTGCGACAAAATTTAAGCAGTTGAATCAAATGGTATATATTAAATGACTTTTTTTAAATCCTGTTAATTGATTCATTTGTATAAAATTTTCTGAAGGTTTTAGAAATGTGTATGGGAGGTGAGAAAATGATAAGGGTGTCTGAAGCGGAAGAAATAATAGCAGCTTGTCAGGAAGCACAGACTGCTGCGTTAGTTTGTACTCACCTTACTCAAAGTAGCATAGTTGGTGAACCTATAAAATTAGATTTGTTTCGACCTGGAGAAACAATACCGAGGCAAGTAATATTTTTAAAAGATATATATATATATATATATATATATATATATATATATATATTTGAATAGTCTTGAATTTGATGTTGATATATATGTTTAATTTGAGTTTAATATTCGGGCGTAACATCAATAAAAAATAGTATGAGAGTTTTTTTAAAAGTTTATTTAAAATCCATACGTTTCGGCTAGCATCTTAGCCATCATTCAGTGGTAATCAAATTAACTACAAAAATTGAAACTAAGTAAATTAAATGTAAGAAATTTCATGGAAAAATAATAATAATAATAATAATGATAAAACTTACAATTTTGTATCCTAATATAGTATATAAAACCATTATTAATCCATGGTATTGGTATGGTATGATTAATAATGGTTTTCATATGCTAGATGCAAAATTGTAAGTGCTTTATTATTATTATTATTGTTTTTCCATGAAATTTCTTACATTTAATTTACTTAGTTTCAATTTTTGTAGTTAATTTGATTACCACTGAATGATGGCTAAGATGCTAGCCGAAACGTATGGATTTTAAATGAATAAACTTTTAAAAAAACTCTCATACTATTTTTATTGATGTTACGCCCGAATTTTAAACTCAAATTAAACATATATATCAACATCAAATTTAAGACTATATAATATATATATATATATATATATATATAATTCTAATTATTTCTACAGGTTTAGTATATATGTAATGGACCAAATCACCTCAGGAAGAAAGCAGAAAAAATATGCTGTGTTCATAGTTCCACAAGGAAGGTAAAAATGTATAATTTTATACATTTTTTGCATTATACATTTTTTGCATTATACATTTTAAAAATGTATAATTTTAAATCTTGACTCTTCATTGTAGAGAATCCGACTGGCTTTTTTCAACACCTGAAGGTAGAGATAAACTACTTAAATCAGTAGAACAAGACCGTCTTGCCGTAGTTATAATGCATAGAGGACAATTTTATGAAAGTTGGGATGCAGTAAAAGCTGAATTAACAGCGAATATAAAGCTTCTCAAGCCTGCAGGAAGTGAAGACAATGTAAACTATATTAATATCAATTGTGTTAAATATATATGTTATAACAAAATTGTTTTATTTTAGATACCCTTCTTATCCTTGGGTACAGACGTTGGATTTCGTGTTGAAATTTATCGTGGTGAATCTAAAATATCAGGAGAATATGTTATTGAAGAAATTCCTCAACAACCTGGTGTAGATTCTATTTCATTAAGAAGATTAATATTTTTGAGCAATCCTTTCTTGGTACAGAGTGAAGCTCTTGTGAAAATAGGTAATAGGTAAATTTATTTACCTAGTATTTTTGTACTTATGATGAAAATTTTAATTTCAGTTAAATCCAAAAATACAACTAGGTGCATAGTTGACACAACAAAGTTAACATGTGATCATCATACATACATGACTGTCGGTGTACAACTATCCATTTCAAATTTTAAGAAGCAGGATCGATCTTCTAAAAGCTCAAAAGAAAAACTAGCAAATTATCCAAAATGCCTCGTGATAGGTTTAGGCGGAGGAGGATTATGCACATTTTTGCACCATTACTTTAAAAATTTACAAATACTTGCTATTGAAATAGATTCAGAAATGTTGAATGTTGCAGAAAACTATTTTGGCCTAAAACAAGATTTCCGTTTTCAAATTAAAATTGATGATGGAATTAAATATATTCTTGATGCTGCACAAAAAGGTAACTAAAATATTAACTTAACCTTTTCGAACATTTATTAAATATACTTTTTTTAATAGGTGAAAAATTTGATTCAATCCTATTTGATGTTGACAATAAAGACCCGTCCCTTGCTATAAGATGCCCACCAAAGGAGTTTTTAGAAGTTAATTTCCTAGAAGCTGTTAAAGAATGCCTTACTGAGAAAGGTAAATATAAATCTGTAATGAATAAATAAATTAAAACATTCTTATCTAATACATATTCAATTTAGGAATTTTCATGCTGAACTTGGTTTGTCGGGATGACAATGTAAGGACAAATGTAATAAAATTATTAGTTGATATATTTGAAAATGTCTGTTCCTACGTAATGGAATTAGATTTAAATATGATCATTTATTGCACAAATACTAAAGACATTGATTGGAAAACAAAAATTCTCGAGGCTTCTGAAACTGTAAATAAATTGATTGGTAAAAGTGGTTCAACAAATGACTTCATAGATATGAATGATGTATTTAGTTATTTGAATATTCACTAAACTTTAAAATGCATACATTGATTGAGATGATTATTTTGATGTTAATCAGATTTTTAATTTATGGAAGTTACGAATGAAATATTTATGATCACTGTTTTTATATACTTGAATGAAATTCCATATGTTACTCACTTAAAAAAATGTTCATTTTTGATATTGTTATAATAAAAGCTATAATAATAAATGTTGTTTCACTCTTGAAATAATATTATGCAAAAGCAAATAATTATGTGTACGAAAAATTATTATCAAAAAAGTGATTATATTCAATGCAATATACATATAAATTTTTAAAAATATATGTACAAAATCCAAGCTTAATTCTTATAAAACATCCAATCAACTCAAACAAGTCTCCACAATAATTTAACAACGCTGCTAACTAAGTCTTAATAAATAAACCAGTTTTAACACATCACAGCCTAAATGCGCGTTGCATAACGATTTAAATTAATTTACAACATAAAGTAATATAATAAAAAAGGCATTTTAACACCTCACTTCTCCTGCACAAAATTAAAATTTTCATAACTAAATGCCACTTCTTATAGATATTACGATCTAAACTTTGACTTCACTTTGATTTGACTAAGAATATAACGGCACATAAATACTTAAATATAAATTAATTAATTAAAATACACTACCTAACAAGCTTGTGTAAAAGTTTCCTATTACAACAATACACAATTAAAAAACACGTTTGAATATTTTTTTAAAATATGCTTTGTTTTTGTCTTTCTTTTCTAAAAAATTATTACTATTAACAGAACTATTTAATGAACTGTTCACAGAATTCGTATCACTGACTATATCGTTATTTGCCAAATTTTCACACATGTTTTCAAAATCTGATATAGGTGAGCTACGGTGACTAGTTGAATTATCTGGATCGTTTTTCTTTCGTCGGTACCAATCCCAATTGTGGGCTTTTTGCTGTAAACTCTTATCAGAGCTTCTGGAGGTTTTAGACCTGTATAAGGTGGATCTTAGAAAACCCGATGGAACGCGTATGGATCTCCTCTCAACAGCACCATTTCCTTGAGGCACACTAAAATTGTTCACACTGCTTTTGGATACACTAATTTCATTATTTAAATTGTTCACTTTACCTTTTGCTGCACCGGTTTCCAAAAACATTGCGGTTCCGTTACCAACCACGGGTTTAATTGCATCGATGGTGGAAGAAGATCCATTTATGGTACTCACAATGGCCTTTGAATTGGGCAAAGTTGACATGATATTGGTTAAAGACTTTTGTGGCCTCTTTCTCTTCTTTTTCTTATCAACTTTTGCAATAATCCATGAACCATCATTAAAATCTCGTACCGTAACATTGTTTTCATCTACATTTTCCTTTCCCTCTTGCTTTAATAAATCTTTATAAGTCCCTGAAATATTCAAGGCTTCGGTACTAGGACGCCGTTTCTTCGACACTGGTGAAATATGACCACTAACGCCTTCAACAGATTTTCTCCTTCTGATTGTATTTCGTTTCTTCTTCACTTTTTTCTCTTCGATTTGTTTATTTCCTTTATAAAACAGCTCCATAACAATATATGCTATGACGATAACAATTAAAACAAATTGTATTATCCACCAAATTTTGCTCTGTATACTATTTTTCTCCTCTGTTAATATGCGAATTTCGTTCGTTAGGAATAAAACTTGTTGTTGAAGTTGCATAATTTCTTCAGATTTTTTCTGATCTTGGCTTATACGGTTCTTACTCTCCTCCAATATAGTTGTCTTGATTGCATCAAAAGCTGAATGAAGTTCTTCTACTTTATTTCGATATCTCTTACTGAGCTCTTCCAAATATTGTCCTGATAACGACATATTTCTCTCCAAAGCCTGCAAGAAATAAAATAATTTAAAAATGAAAATTTAAAAATTACACCTAAGTCTGTTTTTACACGGTAGATTGGTTCCAGAAGAAGCCGTGTAAAAAAAAACGTGTAGAAAAGACATTGATCTTATACAAAAATTGGTGATTTGTTCCTAATCTCTAAAGCCTATTAAAATTAGTGAAAAACAGGAATTTTTAAGAACAAGAATTCATGTTTATTTTATTAAATCAAATATATAATGCTTATTTTCACAAGCATAGTAATTAATGATAAAAAAGATATGCACTCTATGCACTGCAAAAGTAATATAAATTAAATGTAAGGCAAGTTCAGAAACTAAGAAACTATGTTGTGAAAAGAACAGGTTATTCAATTTTTAAGGTAAAAAATAAAATAAAATAGAATAAGTGATAATCATAAATACAACAACATAAATTTAATTGCTGTCGTAATCGCATTCTAGCCAGTAAATTTTATTGTATGCACATAAAGGAAATTCCCCTAAATTAGTGCTATTCACATTTGCTTTGACCAGTAAAAATTGTTTGTACGCGCTAAAGGGGAATTCACTTAAATTTTTACTCTAGTGTTCGCAAACTATCGATACTATCGATGGTTTCAGACTTTTTTCTTTCATAAATACTTTTTTGTGATATGAACATACTTCGCAAAAATTAAATTTGACAAAAGAATTTAACATTTCAAATCGTGCTAAATGGAATAAAATCGTGTGAAAAAATTAAAAATATTCAATTTTCAAACCGTGTACAAAAAGACCTTGGAAAAACAGACTTAGGTGTATAATAAAACATTAATTTTGGCACGAGTTTGTACTTATACTTCATATTTTTTATTTACCTTTAATCTGTTGGAAAGCCGTATCAAAATAGATTCCTTCGGTACATTTTGAGTATTCAAGTTAGCAGAACCTGTATTAGTTGTAGCCGGATCTCTCAAAGAGGATAGGGTATCATTAGATTCTAAATCTATAAACATATTTTCGTAATTTTCTACAATCTGTTCTTGGCCATTTGATTTCGAAGGTTCTTCTGCAACAACGACGACTTGTTCCTCAACCGCGTTAATATTTGGATCAACAACTACTTCTTCTGGTATATTATAGATATTTTTCTGTACTGGTGGCTCCTCATTCTTTATTAATTCAATATTTTTTTCATTTTTAACTATTTCTGTTGGGTATTCAGTATTATTATCAATTTCTGTCGCGAAATCTGGTGTTGTAACTATACCATTGTCTGTTGAATTAAGAATCTCAGGTTGGATTACATGTTCTGGTAACTTTATGTCCTGTGCTTCAGTTAAATAAGTTTCTTCTGGTTGTGCAGTTTCAGTTTCGTGAAGATATTTTGTGGGCGGCAATAAAGTTTCAGGTTCTAAAACAATCGGAGTATTATTGTCACTGCTATCAACGGTTAACCTGGATTTATCTGGTAAAATTTCTTCGAAACTTGTGTTCAATACAACCTTCTTCTCCATAATCGCAAATGCATTACAAAGTGCTACTACATATTTGGGTTCAAAAGCTGACTCAAAAAACAGAATAGTATCGTTATGCATCGTAACCATTGCATTATCACTAAAATCCAAACCGTATTTAAGACATACATTAGTATTATGAATTAATTTCTTTATTAGATTATTTTTAATTAATTTATCTAATTGTTCATTACGACAACTTAAAATTTCGTATAATTCACTATAAAGTAAATCGCTACAATTATCACACACTATAATATGGCTAGGAGTTCTACAAATATTTGATTTTGTAGAAACTATTGTGTCGTTAATAGTGATGTTTTTGTTACTATCCACTGTTTTAGTTAAAACTTCTGCAGCTTTTTTCATGATAGACATAACTGCATCTCTTGCTGAACCAAACAAATTTAATTCAGTTTGATTTCGTTCATCAGGATTTACTGCTTCCTCCAAATCGGTGTCTTCGTCAATATCAGCATGAACAGGATGGGTAGGATTTTCAGTTTCAAAAGCTTCGAACTCCGATGTACCGTATACTCTGAATAAACTAATTGGACAAAAATGTTCTTTGCCATAATGAGATAATACTTCCACTTTAATGTACTTGCCGAATAAATGAGGATGCAAATCAAAACTCTGAATAGTTCTTTCATCTCTGGCCGTGAATTGGCCAACGTTCGACCAGTCTCTAGTCGGAAACCGTGCACTTACAGACACAGAAAAATCTTTTGGCGAAGAAGAGAATAATTCAAAATTGGCTAGATCTATCCTTTTGGCTTGTATCGATTCACATAATTCTACTACAAACCATATTTTGCTTGTGCAAGTGTTTAAAGCGTATTCGTCTCTTAAAGGAGATAAAACTGAACTCATGCTGGAACTTTCAGGATTTGCTGCTATAATTTTGGCGTTGCAGTCTGGTGATGCATAGTTTTTTGATGTGTGATGTTTTAAATTGACGCTCTTAACAGTTTTGTTTTTTCCAGCCAGATTTTGCGCTGAAATATTAATAACTTGCTCCTTATTTTTCTCTGCTTCTTCAAGTTGCTTCTGGGCCCATTCAGAAAACACCGGCATAGTTTCCTTATTTTTGTCAGAATCGACATCCAAAATCGGAACATTTATATCAGTTGGCACTAAATTGTCTCCATTTTCACCATGTCCTTGGTCATCTTTCGATTGTGGTACAGTTGGCGCCGTTTCCTCACTTTCGGCATTTGAAAGTATAGTTTTTGGTTCTGCCTTAACAACATATTCATCTTGTTCAACAGTGTCGTTCAAAATCGTTAATGGTGGTGATATATTCGCCGAAGGAATAGTATTCGCATGATGTGTGACATTATTAAGAAATGTATCCGATTTTTGCTCATCGTTTATAGAGGCTTGGAAATCCTGGGAAGTGGTATCCACGAGAGATACGACTGCAGGAAATGCAGAGTCCGTCAAACTGAAACAAAAACATACTAGATTAATAAAGACTACAAAAAATAATATAAATTATCTTTCACTTCGATTCAACAATATTAATAAGCTTGCATACACGTGCATTGGATATTTGTATACCAATAAAAATTCATTACAACTATTAATATTGAAGTTTAACTTTTCTTTTCGAACTCTCACCTATTATATTTGTGTATTAAGGCTAATGTGCCTAAATTGTTGTCGACCACTATAAAAATGAATAATAAGTTTACCAAAATTTTCCCATTAACCATCTTACTCTATGTGTTAAGTTAACTCCCACTCTTGTCTAAATGCTGATCATCTGTTATAAAAAATATATACATTTTTATTAAATTCTTGAAAATAGTGCGTGAGGAAAAGACAAGTGGACGTAAATGTGTACTGATAGATGAAGCATTACTTGTTTTTTTTTAATGAAAATTAATGGCAGCAATAAAGATATCTATAGCCCGAATAAAAGTGATTATTTGACTAATGTAAATATTTTTTTTGCATCATTAGTAATTAGTACCAAAAGGAAAGGTGCACGTATCTTTCGGTAAATCTAAATATTGCATCAAGTTTTTGAATTACAATCGCATTGTTTTATTACTAACATACTATGCATGCCTAAGAAATATTGCAAGGCCTTGGATTTTTAATCAGAATTGAATATAGAACAAAAATTTACGCAATGTAATTACGCATATACAAACTAGCAAACTTCAAGCTTGCGATTGCAATTTTAAAACATCTGCACAATTACCAGTACTGAATGCTTTCTTTATATTCCTTACCAAATTATGATTTTGTTATCGACAAATTATTTCAATTACTATTTTGATTACTAATTATTTGACGAGTTTCCAATGACGTGATCATTAAACACTATCTTAATCGACTAACATTACAACATGAATTGAATATATAATTAAATAGTTACATTTTAGATTACGTTCAATTAGGTGTGGATTATTGCATCAATAAATTAATTGAATAAGCTATTTACATATCAACAAATATAAATGCGTTATACCGATTGTTATCGGTGTATTGTAATGTAAAATCTGGGTTAATTTTACAACGATAACGATCGATCGTACGATTATTAAATGTTTACATATAAATTGCAGTATATCAATAGTCTTAATCAGAACATGATTGATTTATGAAGAATGAAAGATGAAAACAGTGCTACATTATTAAAAAAGATATTAGATGAAGCATTTGCTTTTTCCAAACTCTGTCTTGTGACGAATTTATCAGTCACCAACCATTACAGTTTCTGTAGTACTGATAATTTTTGCACTGATCCTGGGAAAGTGTTTTTTCATTTGAAAATATATTGCCTTCTATTATTTTCAAGTAAAAACCAATGTCACTGCTGCTTGACATCAGACAATATTAAGCAATAGTAAGCAACAATATTATTATGTATCGAATCTGGCTAAATAACATATCAGTGCAAAAATTTTAAGAATTTTTTAGCACATGTGCCACAACATATTCTTCCAACGGTATTTCATGCTCTGATTTTTTAATAACGTACCAAGTTTTCCTATCTTAAAATTATTACATGTTCACAAATTATTTCCAACAATATTGGTACTTGAAATTTTGTCGAAAGAAAAGTTTTATGCCTGTATATAATTTTCTTTTATTATTATTACCATCACAAATCAATATTGCTCAACATAGAATTATTATACATAAAACAAATTAAAAGCGTCAGCAAATTGGTGATGAAATGTATTGCACTAATTGTATATGACAAACATTTGGCACGAACATATGTTTTATTAGAAATTTTATTAGTGAAATATAATAAACGACGAAAACAGTTTATGCCAAAAACAACAATTCAATTAAATGAAATAAAAAAATCTTTATATACAATAGGAAATTAAGAAAAGTTTATGACTTCCTGATCATGTTACATAAATCTTTCACTTCTGTAATAAAAACTTATACCAATAATTGCAGTAAAATAAATTTGTCATGTGGTATTCAATTCGGAGATAAACTATTAGTAAATTAATAGCAATAATTAAAAAAAATCCTTTTAAATTACTTTTATGTTGTTTATGTAAAAAACCATATAAGTTGTATTAAAGTTGTAAGAGTAAATATATAAAAATTTATTTAAAAACGTGATCTTTATGTAGCATGTAAAAAATGCATAAAACATATTTACTTGCATTGTTATTATTTTGATTATTTTAAAAATGCAAACAAAGCTTTATAGATAATTTTTTCCACACAAGAAATTATTAAAAATTTTCCAGTTCTTTAATAATTCATAATAATTTTATGAAATTCTCGAATTAGGTATAGGACAAACAATTTTACTAGATATGAATTACATTATCATTTGTAACTATTTTTTTTATTTTAAAATATTCTTTGCATACAAACTAATTTCCAAGGTAATTGAACAAGCATTTTAAAACAAAGCATTAACATGGTTATCACTAATTATATTTTGTAAGCAAAACATTTTAGCAGATAGGATAAAAATAGTTACAAATAATTTATCAACCATGAAAGAACTCAATTAGAAAAATATGAGAATTATAATCTACCAATCTGATTATAATCTACCAATACATAATACCCTAATTATGGCCTTTAAAATAGAGAATTTAATTAATTTTTGTGACTAATTGTTGTCAATATAGATAAGATGTGAATTATATTATGAAAAAGAGATCCTCATCCTCAACATAAAATATACAAACAGATTGCTATTAATAAATAAAATAAAATATTTACATACAAAAAATGTACAAATTCAGTGAACTGAATGGTTCACTTAATAACAATAGCAAAAGAAAAATTCCATGAGCTAAAATTTATAAACAATATATGAAAATATGCCTTAAACATATGTAATTTGAATTTCTAAAAATTGCAACCGAGTTATATTCTCATGTTTTCCTTGGCAGTGGGAATTCAAAATATTTATTAGAAGTGTTGAAGAATGGCATTGAAATTGTTAGTGATTTTTTAGTGATTTACTTCCTTTTCTTGCTACACAAAAACAATAATATAAACTTATGTACGACGATAGTCAAGTAAACAAAAAAATATTATGGAATTCCTTCAGCAAACTATTAAATATAATACTTGAATTATCAATAATACAAATATAGGTAATCAATGTAATTAATGTTATCCAAAACCTATTTTATCCGGGTTACTGGGACATTGGCAAAAATGTTAGATAAGTCTTGCTGTTAATAAAAAAAAATCGACCATGCGTTTCACCAAACCAGAAGTAGATTGTCAACTATTAAAACATAACGATTTTGAAATTTATCGTCCAAAAAGTATATAGTAATTATATCATTATCCAAGCTACCTTGTCAAAACATCTAAAAAAACTAGTTCATAGAGTTTAGTGGAACAATTCTAATTATAAAATTGCCGTTGCAGCAAATTAGATAACATATGTTTGAAAAAAGAAAACATAGTGCGATAAAAATTGATAAGTTTAAAAAACAGATTTGCAAAAACAGTATTTGTAAAAGCTGACGTGTCTCGATAGATAATATTTGATATTTATATTAGAGAATGCAAAACATATGTGAATTGCTGGAGATTGGCGGATTACTACATATAGAAACTCGTTGCATCATAAAACTAATAATGATACATTTTTATGAAGAATGTAACAATTTTGCACTAGTTATAAACTTCATAAATTCTTATTTAAATTTTGCTTCATATATCTAACTGCACCATTTAAATTATCAACAGCAAAAAAAGCATCTTTGGGTACCTTACAATTTTTTTTATTTTATTTATTACACCTTGTATTAACTTAGCAAGTTTACTTATGAATTCCGAAAGTTTAAAGAAAAGCACTTTACGAAAGTACTTTCCCATCATGACCACAATTTAAATTATTAGAAATTCTCACAAACGTGTATACTGCTAACTAAACCAAATTTGATATTTATAGTTTAGTAAGTTTTTTCAGAAATCGAGATATAAATTGCTAATTAAAGTTTATATTATTCATTTCTCAAGTCAATTAAAAAGTATGATATAATAAAAATATATTACCGAACGTAAAAAAATGAAGCAATCAGAATAATAATAGACACATTTACCCACATTCCACATTTGATTACAATAATGTTCCAGAAACTCGGTGCGTGTTTAAAAAATACAATCCAAATATTGACTCGATAAAGCAATTAAAAAAATATTTGCACTATATAAACAGTGCATGGAAAAATCTGTAAGAAAGAATTGAACGTGATATTTAAAATTATATATATATTTTAATTTTACAACCATTTAAAATTAAAAATTGATGAGAATGTGATCAAATTTCTAGGAGTAACGCGCCGAAGAAAACATCAGATATTGTATAAAATTATACTGTAACCATATTTATATAATTAGCTTCCCATGGCGTTAATTATACTAATGGCAAAAAAAACGAAAATTAAATTATTTATATATATTTACGTTTCAAAGGTTTCTGAACATTTTGGCATACCTTAGAAAAAATGGATGTATGCGTGTGTATGTATGTGCGGATACAATTTCGAGAACACGAATCGACCAATTTCAATGATTTAAAGTAACATTTGATTTCTATTGATAATGAGTGAAATAATAAAAAAAAATTAAAAAAAACAAGAAAGGTAAAGAAGAAAAAAAAACAAAAAAATCGGTCGTTCTAAATGATTTTTGGCAAAGGCAAGTCCAGTTGTTTCGGAGATACAGGGCAAAAGAGGCCAAAAATGGTAATTATGTTTTTTAAAAGAAAGAGCAGCAATTTGCACTAAGACACAATGCCATGCACCACTAGTTAATTTTTTGTACTGAAGATAGTCATAATTATCCTAATGATTGATCCCCAATATAAAATCTTCTACTATCTATTATTATTACTGCAGAATACTAAATCATATACTCATTTTCCAAAGAAAATAATTCTCTAGTCATTGAATTAAATGCTGACAAATTTTCCTAGTAACACACAAA